TCTTTCTTTCTTTCTTTCTTTCTTTCTTTCTTTCTTTCTTTCTTTCTTTGTTTCTTTCTTTCTTTCTTTCTTTCAGTACTGCCATTCTCCACATCTTCTGTCTCCACTGATGGGTTCTAGCATTTATAGTTTAGGATTCGTTGCCGTCTTTCATAGTCATTCTAAAAGAAATGGTTGTTCAGAAAAAGTAGGTGTCATTATTTGGAATCATACATTTGCCTGTGGATTGCCGTTGTATCTCTAGCCTAAGTATCTTTTCAACTTGATTTTTTAGATTGATCAGCCTTCACTTGGACTCCCTTCCCGTGACTACTATGAATGCACTGGAGTATACAAAGAGGTATAAACTGGCTCCTAGATCAGCAAGGACTCCTTGAAATTCTTCTGTGTTTTGTTAATTTTAAATAACAAGGATAGGCTTCCAAACACCTTTATTCCCAACTGATACTGAAGAAAGAATGTCTATGGTGGACATCAGAAGGATGATGAAGAGCAAAGACTCCTTACCATTCTCAAAGTCAATTCTCTAGGGGCGGGGGAAATAGTCTGCCTATTCCCTAGGTAGTTTAGAAGCTTGAGGAAAATATGCCTGTAAGTGGCTATCAGAATATAGTGAAAAAAAATGGTGGTATTTTCAGACCACTATATAGGAACAAGTTATAAGGGTTTTGAATGTACATGTCCTGCATTCTTTATACTTCAGTTCCCTTCAGTAAGACAGAAAAGTGCTTCTCCATTCCATATGAAATTATTCAGCACATTTTAATAGTTTTGTACCTATTTTGTGCCTATTTTGTATTGTACCTATTTTGTGCTCATCTTTACATGAAGACCCATGTCATTTTAGAAAACGATGTCCATGCAGACACTATTAGCTCTACTAGCATGGGTTCAATTTCATCATCTTAGATAATCATCTTAGAACTGCAGAGCTGGAAGTTCATGGATTATCAACTCCAATCCCTGTCAAGGAGGCACAATGGAGAATCGAACCCCCAATCTCTTGCTCTGCAGCCAAAAATAATAATAGTCTTACTGTAGGACTGCAAAGCTGGAAAGCACCCTATGGATCATCAAATCCAGCCCTTGTCAAGGTGGCACAGTGGAGAACTGAACTCACAACCTCTGGCTTCACTGCCAGATACCTACACCATTGAGCTATCCATAGCTATCATTGCACAAGATATGTTCCCAGGAACAATATTATGTCCTTTATCTCCCCACCTGCATAGTTAAAAATCTGCTGCTTGGTGGGACTCTATATGACTAGTGTTAGTATGTCTCCAATCACATGAAGAATTTACATACAGTTTTGCTTCACTGTGCACAAATATAGGAAGGAACTGTAATTGGCTGTACCACCTTAACAAGTATACACTCATTTCCTACAAAATAGTCAAAATTCATTTAGGATACTGTCACTTGTGAAATGGATCTGAAAATTGATAGCAATATCTCACTGCCAGAATATGAAGACAAGTCTTTGAGAAGGAGCACACACACACACACACACACACAAATCACACATACACAAACCAAAAGAGAAGTTAGGAAAATGGAATCATTGCTCCTCTCAGGAAAGTCTCATCCTAGCTCATCTGTTTAATACCTCCGTCAGGAAATATAGGAAACTACATTTTCAGAAACTGTAATTAAGTAAGCCCTGTAGGAAATCCGTAATTCAAGTGTTAGCTTTTAAATACACATTAGTAAGTACATGATTGCACTCATAATAAATGCCTGTAGCTGTATTTTGGTGGTCTGTGATTAGCGAACTATAACGATTTGCTCAAGAGAACATTGCAGATTAATTTGGGGTTTGTTATTGTTGTTAACTTGATTTCAGCATGCATCGTTGTGCATTATTTACAGCTGGTGACAACCATGTATTAATGTTCCTTGTCAGTAGTAGTAATACATAAAAGTGCATGGGTTTAATAATACTTATAATACATAAGGTCTGGAAGAACCCATAGATGGGACCATGGAGTTCACAGTTCTCTGGATGTTGCTGGTCTGCCTCTCCCCTTAAGTCCTAGCCAGAAATGCCAGTAGTAAGGGGTCAACAGGAAGATGTTGTTTCACAATATTGAGAGGACCACATCGATCCTTCCTGCTACAGTATACTGTATTAAAAGAAATGGCTTAGACGGAGAGAAAATAAAAAGCAGAATATGAACTGAGAGCTGGGTGGCCCTGTATAACAACATTGCCTTGTAATCTTCCCTCCATCTCCCTATCATTCAGATCCTGGAAGTGATGAGTTACAGGCAATGCAATTACCTTTAGCTCACCACTTTTTCTTATTTTCTCCTCTTTCTTCTTTCTTTCTTTCTTTTCAACAGTAGGGATATAATGAAGTTACATTTCAGAATGTAAGAGTGGGAATGCCATCACTCTTTTGGTGATAGTATTTTCCAGTTTTTAGGCTACGTTATGAAGACTTTTTTGGGGGGGGACGTGGTGGCGCTGTGGGCTAACCTGCAGAAGCCTTTGTGTGCTGCAGGGTCAGAAGACCAGCAGTCGTAAGATCGAATCCATGCGATGGAGTGAGCTCCCATCGCTTTGTCCCAGCTCCTCGCCAACCTAGCAGTTCGAAAGCATGTAAATGCGAGTAGATAAATAGGTACCACTTCGGTGGGAAGGTAAACAGCGTTCCGTGTATAGCTGTGCTGGCCACGTGACAGCAGAAACTGTCTTCGGACAGACGCTGGCTCTATGGCTTGGAAACGGGGATGAGCACCGCCCCCTAGAGTCAAACACGACTGACTAAAATGTCAAGGGGAACCTTTTCCTTTACCTTATGAAGACTTTTTTAAGTGCTATGCCTTTTTCTCATTAAATCATATTTTTTTAGAGTAGCAAAAAGGGAAAAGTAACATACAAGTAAAGTAATCCAATATAAGATTACTTTTGCAAGTACAGTAATACTAAAATAATTTTTATAAAGAACAAAAGTAAAAAATCAAGGATTACCATTGGCTTGTAATGGGCTAAAGTAATTAGTACCACATAAAAATTACTTTAAAAATAAAGTTTGATCTCATGTTACGCATTCTCCTGCTGCATACAGTTGGCTGCCAAGAACAAATATATCTTTATAAAACAGGCAGTTTTCAAGGCCAAAATAAAACAGAAAAACAAAACTGGCAGATAAAATCAAAACACATGTAAATCCAATGGGACAAATTTGTCTTAACTATATGGCTGGAAGAACATCATGAAACCTTGGGAAATGATTGTGTTTGATGAGCATAATTTATGAGTGGTGGTCCTTCACTTCACCTTATGCTAAAGAACAGGAAGAATGAAGTGTGTGCATCAATCAAATATCTACTGGCTGTTCAGCACAATGTCCAAAGTGGATCTACCAAACCTATACATTTTTTTTCTTACAGGCATGCTCAGCCTATGTTGATTTTATGATTTCAGTAGCAAAACTGGTCCGCCGGGAAAGAAATCTTACTATCGATGAGAGCCTAATTTCTACAGAAATGAGGAGAATAATGGATCTGGAGACAGAGATTGCAAATGTAAGTCCATTTTAAAAAAGAATCTACAGAACTGCATGTACTGTATGTGTTTGAATCTTTTCCTGACATTCAGGCTAAAATGCTGAGTATGAGGGTCTTGGGCAAAGGTAGATAACAGTGAAACACATTTGATGCTATATACAATACGATGTTTTATTACGGTCATTGAGCAGCAAAAGTAAGCAACATTATTTAAATTAGGAAATATAAAATCAATCTAAAAGCAATAAGAACATCTATATACATATATATAACTACATTCATACATTTTATTAGATATCTCCTGCCTCTCTATCATAGGCCTTGTCTGTGGGCTATTGTAGCTTGCATAGAATGATAGAGCTGTTACTTGGAAGCTCATAGAGCCCGTATGATCATTAAGGCCTCTATGTGTATACACCAATTTACAGATACTATAGCTGCACTTTGCGTGGAACCTTTCCTTCACCAATTTTCATTGCAGCAGCACAGAATTTAGCTACTTTTGTCAACATATCTGAATTTTGTTAGAGCCCAGTATATCTACCAGGGCATCGCCCTGTCAGCAAGAACAGTTTGTAATGTGCCTCTGATCATCCAGGAAATGCCCTTAACAAGGTTAACAAGGACTTCTCAAATGCCAGAATAAAAAGCACAATGAAGTAACACATGGGAGATGGTTTTGATCTCACCAGAGTTACAGGGGAACATATACACTGAGTGCAAGGGGTGCATTTGGTGCTATATGAATCTGATATAGTACATCTGGCATGACATGACATGAGCACACTCATTTCTAGGTTTATCCATCATAATTACAGTCCTAAGTACCTGTGCTGTTGAATTCAGTAGGACCTGCTTCTGCCTGGAACCACAGGAATAAGCTAACACAAGCTAAAGGGGAAGAAGAGAGATGTTCTAGAATGCAAAAAGGTTATTTGCATCATAACACCTCTTTCACTTTACCCTACAGTTTCCATGGAATGGCAGGCAGAGTGGCTGCAAAGAGTGATATATAGCAGGTGGCGACCTCAGCCTGAGGCCTTCTTAGTGCCTTAGTGGTTAGAGGATCCAGGGGAAATCCTTTATTTGGAAGTTAACCTGTCAGTCAGCTTTCTCCTTTGATGCCACTAGCTTAGCTTACTACAGTATACTACTTTTGTTTTCCCCTTTCCTTTACTCAAATAGCTGACCTTTTTTTAACCCTATGTGTATGAAATGAAATATGAAATATCCATTGTGGTGTTGCTTCACCCCAATATAGAGTCCTTGCTCTGTCCTGTAGTTGTTCTGAAATCACATAAATAATGCTAATTTGATCCATTTTTAGACATTTGCACAAAATAGTGCACATGCCAAGTACAGTACATGCTTTATTCTCTCTCGGAACTTGTGATCATCCTATACTCTTGGTCCAATAATATAACTTACAAGTATCAAGGAGAAAGCAGGTAGAAATTTCTTTAGGAGATTTAGGTGATGAGCATAACAGATTTTGCTTACATGATCATTAATGCAGCACATTATAAATCTTTATATTACAATTTTTTAACTAAGCACTATTTGTTATATACGTAGATGTTGATAGATGTCTGATACAGCAAATACAGTAATAGAACAGAAAACAAGCTGATTATTGAGGTACTTGTCATTTACTGGTGATAATATTGAGGTACTTGTCATTTGTCATGCACAAATTCTGCCCAGGTCTCAATATATATATTGGTTGTTGTGGGTTTTTCGGGCTCTTTGGCCGTGTTCTAATGGTCGTTCTTCCTAACATTTCACCAGTCTCTGTGGCTGGCATCTGAAGTGCTGTCCTCTGAAGATGCCAGCCACAGAGACTGGAAAAACATTAGGAAGAACAACCTTCAGAACACGACCAAAGAGCCTGAAAAACCCACAACAACCATTAGATCCCGGCTGTGAAAGTCTTCGCAAATACTTCTCAATATATATACTTCTTATCTGACAGCACTGTCTGATTTAAATTGTTTTGCATCTAAATCTTGAATAGGCATACTTAAATGAGTAGAATTTTTCTGCATCTCTCTTTTCTCTGCTATTTCTGATAAAGGAGATCCTTTGTTTATTGTACATGTATTTTTCTAGGCTACAACCAAAGCTGATGACAGAAATGACCCACTTCTGCTGTACAACAAAATGACACTCAGTGATGTCCAAAAAAATTTCTCCTTGGAAATCAATAAAAAGGTAAATGATCACTAATATGTTGTTTTCTGTTTCTGACTGACTGGACAATGCAGTAGTGTAACATGTTTTGCTTTGCTTTTTATCTTAATCCTGAAGATAAAGGGAAACTTTTCAATTGCAAATGCTGGATTTATCAGCCTGTTGGATACAGCAGGCAGGAAAAATAAAGCAAGGGCCCTAATGGGAATTGTGCTAAACTGTGAACAAATGGGAGTGGGGCTATATGAGAACTGGCAGTGCAGTCCTATAAATGTCTACTCAGAATAAGTCCCCTTGAACTCAGTATGAATTGCTCTCAGGGAGGAATTTATAGGATAGCAATAAAAAAATACTGCCTGTTTTCTCCTTCCCAAACAGCTGATCAGAGGTATCACTGATTTTTCAAACAGGGTTGATAGTCTTGGAAGCTAGATTAGGGAAGCTACTGCCCAAATGGAAGGAAGCTACACATGGATTCTAACCAAGCATATATGTACCAAAGTTGACTTCTGCATTTCATGTGTAGCCTATTTCTACTGAGATAAAGAAACTATATCACTGTCCATGGTTGCAAGCCAAACACTGGGCAACTGGGCAAAAGTTGCATTACAGACAGCTGGAATCCAGCGTATGTACTTTTATCACCAACCTATTATTATTTGATAAACACTAAGGAAAAATCATTAATGTGACACATGAACAGATCTTGGTCCAAAGGCTGAGTACTTTGACACCTATTAAGTAATTTACTTGTGCTGCTCTTAACTGAGGAAAGGATTGGTTTTTTGTTGACCTACCTTTTAACCTATTAATGATGTGATTATATTTCAGTCTGGCTTGCGTATTTACAACTGAGTCCCATAGGATCCATTTAGAGACTTGAAGGAAGGGTCAGGGAAACCAAAGTCAAAGGAACTGTTGTTCCTAACCATATTTCTCCAGATTCAGAAACAGCAGGCAAAGGAATGCAGCTGCTCAGAAGCCGGTGCAGAAGGGGTCTATTGACTTCATGACTTGCTGATGGGCTTCCTAGAATAATCTAATTGAGGAAAATAGGGCAGTGGAATCAGATCTGGGGTAGGCACCATCTTGCCTGCAAGCTACATGTAGCCTCGCTAATGACCCAAATATACTTCCCAGAATCCCTGGGACCCCCTCTTCATACCCATTTGTTTAAAGCATGCTATTTCATACCTGTGCCCTGTAGCAATATTTCATAGCTGTGCCCTTGGAGCAATTTTGTCGTGTTTTGAGGGAAGACCGCCATCCCTGCCCCCACAACCCAAAATTATTGTGTTTTGAAATGGTCACTACTAGGTACAAGTGGTTTTATTTTCAGGTTTGAAAAGATACCAGATTTTGTAAGGAAAACTAGGGAAGTGTGGAAATGGCTGCAGCCCTCTAAGGCCCAGGGGCAGGTGTTTGTTGCCTCTGGGCTTTTATATGTGTCCCACTCTGATTTAGATGGAGCTCCGGTCTGTTCCCAAAAGTTCGTCTTTTCTTTGTATTTTTGCTTTTCATTAAATTAATGTTAGAGCATGCAAAGAATTCAGAAAAACTGATTTTGGAGAATCCCCCAGAATCCCCTAGGCCAGCAAAGCCACGAAAAAACATACTGTACTTCCTAATCTGCAGTCCTACTGATTTAATGCCATAATGATGCCACATGAATGGTGTTTCCCCTATAGCTATAGGGTATGAACCTCTGAGTGAGCACAATTTGCAAGGCCCACCTGGTGCAAGTCCAAGGCCAGAGAAAGTATAACTAAGTTCAAGTCTCCATTTTGATGCTGATAGATTTAGAGCCCCAAACTCAATTTAGCAACAGTGCAGCAGTACTACACATAAGGGCAGTAGCAGAGAGACTTCCACATCTCAGAGTGTTGTCCAACTAGGATATTCACATGGATCCTTACGCTGAATGTTCAGCACCAGCATTTGCCTTCATATTTAGCAACAGTGCAGCAATACTACACATAAGGGCAGTAGCAAGAGACTTCCACATCTCAGAATGTTGTCCAACTAGGATATTCACATGGATTCAGTGTAAACTGAATGTTCAGCACCAGCATTTGCCTTCAGTGGCTCAGCAGCAGTCAATGTTTGACAGGTGACTTGCAGCAGCAATTAGCAATCCACTTTTAACAGGCAACGTGCGGCAGGACATCGTAAACTGCACTCATTTTTTCATTGGGACAACTGGGAAGCATCCTTTGAATGGGTAGGAACGTCCATCGAGTCAAATGTTAAATTTTCATGCGAAGTTTCATACACCAAAGTGTGATATCAGATTTCAAAGACTCAATCCAAAAAGCAAGATTTTTTTAAAAGGCATCTAATTTTTATTAATTTTTTTTTTTGCAAAATGTGGTTCTGGTCTGAACTGGATGCCATTTTCTTCCAGAACATGGCTGGGCCAGTCCTTCAGTTTGTCTAAATCTCAATGGTTGTGTCTAACATAAAAAAGATAATTTAAGAATTATACCAATGTAAGGGAGTTAGACTTGTGCTCTTTTATTGTTTTACAGCTCATTAACCTGAAATTAAAGCTAATTCACCTTAGTTTATTGCCTTTTGGCCAAGACTCATGTTGAATTGCTTCACAGATGCTTATTCTTATCTACCAATTGAATATTTTTTCCCCTAGCTACTTGCAAAGGATTCTTTTTACAGTAACTATCCAGTGAAAAACACAAGATAAAATGGTACAGAATACTTTCTGAATGCCAAGTGGAAATTTCCAACCCCATATTACCAGGTTGAATCATTAAATAACACTACCACAGCCTGCCTGTAACTAGCTTTAAACTCAACATTTACCATGAATTTCTGGGACAATTATTTATAATTTTTCTGCACTACAAGCTACTGGTGTATGCATGATGAAAGGATTGTGTTAACACTTGAAAGCTTCCATTAATTGTTTTATTTTTGGTGGTCTAATAAAGGTGGCACATTCTTCTACATTTGCATTATTGTATAATAATCAGACTGCTTCCTTAGTATTTTTTAAAATTATTCTTTCTATAACTGTTGTAAACAGCATAATATCTTAAGTAAATTATACAACCACAGAAACTGTGCAAGTTTTTGAGATCCCGGTACCAACTATAATCCTCAGCTGGTGATATCATTACCTATCTGCAGCTATAAGTTATACAACAAGGTTTTAGTGTCTGCTTATTGCAGACACTAATGGATTTTGATGGGTGGGTAGATGGATAGACAAGCAAACACTCAGATAAAATAAAATATATTTTGCATTTTGTCCTGAAATAACTTATATTCATACAACTTAAATACTGATTCCCTCACTCACTGCCCTGGAAGTCAGGGGATTCAGTGTTAATGGATGAGAGAGTAAACACCTCTATGCTTTATCTGTTTCTTGTACAAAGTAACATGTGATGTGAAAGATTTGCAGATTTTCCTCCCTTCTTCATTTTAGTGTTAATGGATGAGAGAGTAAACATCTCTATGCTTTACCTGTTTCTTGTACAAAATACTGTAACATGTGATGTAAAGGATTTGCAGATTTTCCTCCCTTCTTCATTTTAACCATAAAGGTTTGTAGGAAACAGGGCTTTCCTCACAGATGATATAATATCCATTTGTCCAGTATCAAAAGTATATGTATAGCTTAATCTGATGATTGCACTGAACCTGATTTAATTTCTAAATTGAGAGATGCCAATGCTCAAAAGTATCTGGAAGTTTAGATTCTTTTGTAATCAAGGTGTGTGAAAACTGCTTGACAGTGAGAATCATGCATTTGGCACATCACACAATTTTTCTTCTGTTATTACTTGACACGGTTTCACTGCTTGTGTTGGAAACACCTGCCTCCTGAAAAATAACTGGTATAAGACATGCTCTATTTTAATGATGTAACAGTACTGCTGGATCTCTTAGAATGCTTGATGTTTCAAAACAATTTCAATTTTAAACAATATACAGTATATCTGTTTAAAAATATGGAGTGTTAAAAGATTCTTAACCACTATGCTCTGCATTTGCTTTGGCCTCTCTGATTTGCAGTTGCCCAATCTGGAGATCATCCACTGCAACAGAGGGATTCTCTGCTTGCATTAGTGCTTATTAGATTCCCTCTGGGCAAGAAGCATTTTAAAAAGGAAACACTCACAGTAAGGCAATTGGCCACAGTTTCTATTTTGACTGCCTCTGGAGATCTGTTATTTGAGAATGCTGCATCACTTTTGGATTATTTTTGTTTCTTTTGCTGTGAGCCTTCCGAAAGTTGGCAGGCTAAAAATGTAATGTAGGTCCTCATGCAAGAGGCAATCAGAGCATAAATCTTTCTGCGAGATAGAAGGCACTTTTGGATCATAGAGGGTGAGGTTTCTTAGAACTTTTGATCTATTAACATGATATGTTGGGCATGTCTATAATGCAAATATCCTTTCCCTCCACAGCAATTCAACTGGGCGACCTTCATAAATAACATAATGTCATCAGTAGGAATTAACATTCAAGATACAGAAAATGTGATTGTTTATGCTCCAGAATATCTAACCAAATTGAAATCTGTCATTAGTAAATACACTGCTAGGTAGGTATGCTAAATAGATCTTTTATTTTTTATTTTTTTTAAAAGTGGCTAATATGTTCTGTAGTTGCAATTGTAGAAACATGATCAGCTTCTCCTTCTTCTTTCTATTTTCCAATGCAGAGAAATTCAGAACTACATGAGCTGGCGATACATAATGGATATGGTAAACAGTCTAAGCCGCGATTATAAGGACACAAGGAGTAATTTCCGTAAGGTGCAGGAATCTGCTGTTTTGCTTCATATTTAAATCTTAAGATTCCCAATTTTCAGGCATTAAAACAGTCACCTGCTGCCAGTTCTGTGGCTACCAAGACTTCTTCAGGATGAAAAGGATCTCTAAGGACCCCTGGAACATACACAGAATAAGAAACGTTTAATTCTCTCCAAACAGCTGTGGTTGGTGATGTCATCCATGTTGCACAGCAGAAAATTGTGCAACAGGATTCCAGTTACCAAGTGTACCTATATCACAGAGCTACAGAGTTTGATAGTGCTTCAACTGTTTTATGGAATCCTGGGGATTGTTGTGGTGAGACAGTTAACATTCTGTACTAGAGGACATTGGTGGAGTACCCTGCCCCATGTTAGAGCTCTCTGGCAGATCATGTTAAGTACCTCATGAATCTATGAATCCCAGGATTCCATAGAATGCACACGTGGCAATGAGAGTGGCATAAAAATGTGCAGTGTTCGTACACCCGTTGTATGCAGCAGGATTGTCCACCCTGGAGAAAACAGGTCTGTAAGTTTTGAACAGAAATATGTATTCAAACAGTTGCTCGCATGTTTCTGCTGTGGCCTGTGTTTTGTGGGGCCACAGATAAACTTCCAACAGAATATCAATGTTGTTTATGTTATTCATATCATTTTATTTCAAAGATTTTTCTTTCACTTTAAAAAGAAAAAAAGAATAGAAAACTGCCCAAGTCAACTAACATTACATAAAAATGCTGGAATTTGTAATTCAACATCTCAAATCCAATATCACTGTTGTCTATTATGTTACAAATGCAGGGTGCTATCCAGTGACTGCTAAGTGCTACTTAAATCCCAGATATTTGAAGTGTGGAGTTAGAGCTTAATATTTTGATGGATGAAAAGAAGTTCATCATGTCCTGGCTGAGGACATGATTATGACTGTATTTCCGAGTATGAAAAAAAAATAGAAGTCAAAGGTTGGTCTTGTTCCATTCAGATACTCCTTTGCAGCACTAAATCACAGAGGGGGGAAGCAACAACAGCAAAAACAAATACTTGAACAATGCAGTCTTCAGAGGAGTTAGCTTAGCAGCAAGCTGTTCTTTTCCAGCTTTGCTGATAACACTTATCCAAAGAGTTTTCCTCTCTTCCTCATTCTTTATAGACTTATCAGGGTCAAAATACAACCTGTTCCTTTTCTGTGCCTTTCATTTTGTCCAAAGGATGGAATTTCATAAATGATATACTTACAGGACTTTAGACACAAGGTTAAGAGAACTGACAAGTGTGAGGAAAGAAAGATGTAGTAAACTTTCAAGAAAGTTTCAGAGAAAGAGGACATAATTTCTCTGGCCTTGATAACAGTGCCCTCAGCCACCATTATCCTGTGGTGGGAATACTAAGTTATAGAAGACATGGATATATGCAGCATATCTGCAGCTCAATAATCATGAAGCAGATACAGCATCTTATCTTCATTCCACAGTGAAAGTCTGTGTAGGACAAGAATTCTCCAGATTTGCCACAGGCCATATTGGTGCATATTAGAGAAGCACTAGAAATAAGGAATCTATATATTTGATGTCTACTGCCATCTTGCCATGCACCCAATACACCTTGTGCTTACTCTATTCAACCTCAGTCAGCATAACCATATCAGCCAGAGATTTTGAAAGTTCGACATCTGGACACCACCAAGTTGCAGAAAGTTAGATTGAAAGAGATGGCCCCTGATATCTATGATTTGGCCTGCATTGGCTTCGTCTCCTTCAGATCAGAGGCTTTGCATACATGATGCAGAAGGAAACAATAAACTAAGGTAGGGACATTCCAGATCATTTCCTATATTGCCATCCTCTGAGAGATCAAATCTTTCTTGGAACAAACTAAATCACCTCTCTAGTGATATATTTTTCAAGATGTAAATCACAAAAGGCCCAGAATGGGTTGTGTAACCTGAGGAGGATGCTTGTCAGTGGAAGGGAATTATATTGTCAAGAGTACTGCATTATTTTTCTCTATTACTGCCTAGTGCAAATCTAGGCTTCTCCTCACCTCGTTCAGCAAAGCTAATGAAGACAGACTCTGAATTGCCTTGTTTTAGTTGTCTCCCATTCCCTGCTAGGAGAAACAATACTGAGTTGGACCGAGGATTTATCCAATTGCAAAGGTTTACATGCAGATGTGTGAAATTGACTCTGAGCCCTTTCTGTAGGGAAGAGACATCAGTATGACACCTCTTCTATGCAAGTCAGTTCTTTTATAAATTTCATGGCTTGTCAGAGCTAATTTCTGCAGTTTTCAGTGTAACAATGAGTGCCACTTCTTCCATATCCTGAAAGTGGCTATAAAAGAATCTGGGAAAACAAGGGAGATCTCCTAATCAAAGCGGACGAGAGTTTTGTTCCAACTTCTTCTTCTTTTTAGGATTTATTAAATATTCAGATTCCTTCCTAGTTTCAGTGGGCAGAATTTGAGATTTGAAATACTTGTGTATGGGATAAACTGAAATGGATAGTTTTTTTCCCAATCAAAACTTAACTTGTTTCTGATGTCAAGGTTTTCATCCCTGGCTATGCACCCTTGAGATTACTGAAAGTCAGCTTTTCTTTCCCCCCCCTTTTTTTTCTGGTATCCTCTTCATTGGCATCTATATGGCAGACAGGCATAACATGGTCTTCTCCATTGTTGGGACAGCTCTACCTATTGAATTTGGCTGGAGGACAATTTCGTTTCAGGGTTCACCATAATTGGCAAATGAAAACTAGAGAATGAAAGATCCTGAGATATAAAAATTCTGAAGGAAAACTAACTGATTTCCCCACATATTATTATGAAAGAGTAAGCAGCAGATTCAGCTCTGGAGTAAAGAAAGATCCAAGGCAACATCTGTTGCTTCCTTAAGTCAAGTCCTTGATCCTTTTTATCTGTTGGGGGGTCCAGCCATTTCATCCCTCCCAAGAGACCCTGTAGACTAGGATGGGTAGAATACAGCTTTGAGTGAATTACTATCTCAGACTGCATCTTCTATGTTCTTTGAAAACTGTGCATAGATAATAAAAGTACAACTGCATATTTCAATCCTGCTGTGTGGATACAGTGTACTTCCCACTTTCAAATTGTTCCAATAGGAAGAGCATTTCAGATAGGAAAGAGGAACAGGAGAGAGATTTATATATGCTTCAGTAACCTATGATCATCTTTAAATATCACTTCATTTCCATTTGCATCAATCTATTAGCAGTAATTAAGAAGGATTCAGTGTGGGTGTGAAGTTTCTCCCCTGCTTGCATGAGCTTGTTTATATTGCTAAATATGTAATTAATGCCTGTAATGTTTACACTGAACAGGTGCTGTACGGCACAACCTCAGACACTGCTATTTGGCGCCGCTGTGCAAATTACGTCAATGGCAACATGGAGAATGCTGTAGGGAGGCTGTATGTTGCAGAAGCATTTGCTGGAGAGAGTAAACACATGGTAAGTTTAAATGTTCCATATGTGGGGTATTTCAATAGACTAAGAGTGTGCAACTTCCAAAGATCTTGGGACCACCCCAATTATGGCACCTCTAATTTTGGGGTTAAAAGGAGTTGTACCAATTCAGAGGTATGAAGGGGCAACCCCCTCCCTCTTTCAGGACTGTGGGTCCTTTTTTTCAAACTCAAAGTGACTTAAAGTCTTTGGAAGAACTGAAAGGAAGGCTCATGGGGTGCACAAAGCCCAAGGGCTACAGTTTATCCAGTCCTGCAACAGACCTTCAGATTACTGTTGAGCGTTATCAAATTACTGCTTTGAAATCAAAGCGCAGACATACCATCTCCTTGGAAGCATTCCACATTGCTGCTTTCTCCAGTAGAGCTTGAAATGGGACATAGGGAAGTGACGCACTGGGATCAGAATAACACCAACCCAGAGGAACTCCATTGTTTCTGTCTTCTGTAGATTGAAGTTGCTCCCATCTCCAGTGCAAAATAGACTAATAACAGGCAACAGCAATAGCCATGCATCTGAGTATGCCATCATACCTTAATTCTAGACCAGATTCTACCTTTGAATACTGGCAGCAGAGGAGATGCCTCAAAGGTCTGCCTTGGAATTAACAGATTTAGGGTAGGGAGTGAGGTGCTAAAGGACCAGAAAAGTTCCCTTTCCAGACCAGAAAATTGTTCATATAACAATAGATGCAATCCAGATTGTTCTTTGACATGAATTATCACAGAAGGAAAGCAGATTGTTTGACTAATTTTAACCCCCTGCCATAACCTTGTATTGTTACATTCCTTTTGCAGATGTTCCAATCCTGATCTTATAGAAATGCTTAGCAAAAAGACCAGATAGTAACTGCCTGCAACACCACTCTGCAAGAGAGAGGTTACCATTTTAGATTACAGTTCCCAAAAAAAGCTTTGCCAGCACAACCACATTATAATCTGAAAAAAGCAACTTTTCCAAAGCCTGGTTGTTACAAAAAAATATCACCTTTTAAAAACTAATGTAGTGGTTGTGGTTGTTGTTATTGCTGCTGTTGTTGTGTGTTGTCAAGTCACCCTGGATTTATGGCAATCCATAAATGACCAGTCTCCAAACTAGTCCTTAGCCTGTTCTAGTTAGCTACAAGGAATGAAGCTTTATCAATCTGGCAGTCATTAGCGAAGGCAACATGTTTGCCAGCAAAAGGGGAACAAACCTTTTCATCTTACACAACAGTTTTGAAAATTAGGTTAAGGAATCTGGAAGAATGTAATATCTTTTTGCAGTCAGACTAATGATAGGATTATGTAGCTCATCCAGGACAGCAAGCCACGTTATTAGCTAATGATGAAGATTAAGTCACTGCATGTTTTAGAAAGAAGGTGCTAAAAGACAGGAGATTACAGGAATGGGAACACAATTTGATTTAACATTGGTAAAAGGAAAAGGGGGACTACGGACATGTAGCTCAACATAAGCATAGTTAATTTATTCCTTTTATCATCTTCAGACCAATTTGAAAGTGTGTTTTCAAATGCTGCATCATAATTGTTTTCGCTGATGTTATGGAGCAAACCATTGCAGTTCACATTTATACATAAATTTATTTCAATAAGGAAGGTCAAAATAAGAATAGTAGATCTCCATATATCTGTAAGTCTATGGTGAATCACAATGATCCAGAATCCATAGGTTCATGGAAGAAGAGGCACTGTTTACCCAGTTTATAATCCTGTCTTCTTCCTGATTAACAGATGGCCAGTGGGAGGTGGGAAGTTTACTTACACAAACATGCGAAGGACCTCCATAAACAGAGCAGTAGGTAATGTCCATTTGGGGACTGAGAGCTCCACACATAAGCCGATAGTTAGAAGGGATTATAACTCAACTACTCGAAGGAAGAGATTTCTCTTCCACCTGGCATATGGTGCATCCTTTAGAGATTACATGCTTTCAGGATGCTCCTTGTTAGAGCTTAGAAAAATTTAACATTTTGGTTTGCAACTCATAGCATCTCTGGCTAGCCTGGTGACTGGTGATTCTGAGAGTTTTAGTACAAGGATTTAACACTTTCACGTCCTGTTCCTTGTTTTTCCTGGGGGATAAATGCATATGTTCCACCTATTATATAACCCAAAATCATCCAAGTGGTGAGAATGCCAACATTTTCCCAGGGCCAATCCAAGACAAATTTGTCTCCAGAGACAGAAGTTAAGATGGTTGCTCCTTTATACCAATTCTTTCTGTAAAAGCTGATTAGATTAGCAGTTGTTAGCACTGACAATGGGATATCATCCTCCACCATAGCTGAGGGTTGCAGGCCAAGTTAATGGTAATTCTAAGATAATGGAAGGGCAGAGGGGCTTAGGAGGAACAGCTAGAATAGATGTCCTCTTTCTCTAATGGTAGGCCCAACCCTGAGTTTTAATCAGTTTGAACTTCTATAGTTTGAACTTGGTTTTGGGCTTCGTTTCTTTAGAACAGGAGTCATCATTATGTGCTGTGGAGTCAATTCTGACTTATGGCAACCCTTTCCAGGGTTTTACAAGTAGATAATACACAGAAGTTGTTTGCCATTCCCTTTTCCCTGGGGCATCCTAGTACTGTGCAGCTTGCCCAAGGCTACACAGGCTGACTTTTCTCCTGGACAGTAGTGAATCGAACTCATCAGTCAGATACCTAAACCACTGAGCTATCCAGACAGCTTTAGAACAGGATTGTTTGACGTTTATGGTATTTTTCCGATGTGTTTTCTCTCTCTCTCTCTCTCTCTCTCTCTCTCTCTCTCTCTCTCTCGGTTTATGGTATTTTTCCAATGTGTTTCTCTCTCTCTCTCTATCTATCTATCTCTCTCTCTATCTCTCTCTGTGTGTGTGTGTGTCTGTGTGTCTATATATACATTGTGTGTGTCTTTCTGTCTGTCAACATGTCTGTCTGCAGATCATACGTGAGAGCTAGAACGTCTCCATTTCAATGAATGTCCCAAAGTTTATTCCTTCTCCATTGATTTTCAAGGGAGATATTGTTCAAATATTATCTATCAATGTTGAGAACTTTCCCTCAGTCTTACCTAGCTATAATAAATTCAAGCCACTGCTTTTATGCAAACCATGTTGTTGTTGTTATATGCCCTGAAGTCAACCCCAACACGGCAATCCTATGAATGAGTGAGCTTCTATCATTAGCTCTTGCAAACCCAAGGCCTGAGTTTCTTGATTGAGTCAATCTATCTCATAATAGGTCTTCCCCTTTTCTTGTTACCTTCAAGTTTTCCTAGCATTACCAATTTTTCCATTGATTCTTGTCTTCTCATGATGTGCTCAAAGTATAATAGTCTCACTTTCATCATTTTTGCTTCTAGAGAGAGTACAGTGGGGTCTCGACTTACGAACGTCTCGACATACGAATGTTTTGACTTGCGAACCGCTCTCATAGGAATATATGGACTCGACTTACGAACTTAGATTCGAGTTACGAACTCTTTTTTTTCTTTTTTTAAAGCCAAGTTAGGTTAAAAGGAAAAAAGAAAAAAATATCCCCCTCTAGTGGCAGAAGGCAAAATAGCAGCTTCCCATTAGTTTCTATGGACGAAAAGAGCAGATACGGATTAAATGGTTTTCAATGCATTCCTATGGGAAATGCAGATTCAACTTACGAACTTTTCGACCTGAGAACTGCCTTCCAATACGGATTAAGTTCGTAAGTCGAGACCCCACTGTACTGGGTTGATTTGATCTAGCACCCAGTTGTTTGTCTTTCTGCCAGTCCATGGTATCCCTAAACTTTACACAGACCAAACCAGCACATTCCTTTGGGAGTGAGAAGAGAAATGATAATTTCTGTCCAAATCCTTCTCCTGAAGAGTCCATCCTTTGTGAATTTTCTACAGAACAAAGGAAGATACTACTCTACTAAGAATTACCTCTCTGTGTCTTATGGGTCCCTTCCCTGACTAAACTTGTCTTAATACCCAAATAATGAAACCTGTAAAGGCATCCTAATTCAGATAAATTTCAAATATTGTTACACAATATTGCTGACCAAGCAGCAGTCATTTGGTCAGTTAAACAAAGAACCAAAGAGTAAAATCTCTATGTCACCACATAGGTAACTAGCAAAAAGAAGCCACAAGGGGCATGCACTCCCTTAGCAGCTCATACTATTTTATACTCACATGCACTCAGCACCCAGAAAAATGGCAGTGTGTGATGGTTTGGGGTGAACCACAAACCGCCATGAATCTCCCAGAAAACAAACTGGTTCGTTGTTTGTGGTGGTTTAAGCCCATCTCTGCCTCCCCCTTGCCTGGCCTACCTGCCACTGCTGCCCTTACCAATACTATCAAGTGCCATCAAGTGGTGGTGGTGAAGAAGCCAACCAGAGGAGCTGGCTGCCTCTGTGCATGTGCCCACTAACCAGCTAGTTGCCATGGAAACAGAAGTTGCGGGTGCATGTGCAGAGGCTGGGACCCAGCTCCTCTGACTGGCCATTCCACTGCCACCATTGCCTCCACAGACCACCTGGAGAGGCAGCGGTAGCAGCAGGGAAGTCAGCCAGAGGAGCTGGGTTGCAGCCTCTGTGCATGCGCCCATGAACCAGCCCAGATTATCAGTTTTTCTGGGTTGCAGTTTGGTTTGTGCCCATCTCTACTGATTATCAACATAATGTCCAGAAGTACATTCCATCAGGGCTTACTGCCAGTGAAGTGGGTATATGACTGCAGCCTTAATTTTACTGCATTGTCTACATTCCCAGGTACAAGAGATGATTGCACAAATCCGTGAGGTATTTATACACACACTGGAAGAACTCACTTGGATGGATGCTGAAACTAAAAAGAAAGCAGAAGAAAAGGTAAGTATGCTTTAGGAGAAATGTTGTAATTATTTTCTTTATATAAAATCTGGATAGAAGAGCAGACCAGTCAAAGTTATTCAAGGCAATGGATCATTTGTGAGAACAGCAGACACAGTCTTCTCCACAGCACAATTCATGATAGTTAAGGGTTTTTTTTACTTCATAGAAATTGGTAGACACATGAACAATTCCCTGCAACAATTACTTTTGCACACCTGCCATTCCTTGAGTGTATGTGAAATAGAAAAGATAGCCTGGAAGAGTGGTTTTTAAGTAAATGCATCAGCTGACTAAATGAAAGAGATCGAGGCAGAGCCTGAAAAGTCACTTTAAATAAGAATGGAGACAGTGACCTCCCAAAGCCTTCCATCATTGAGAAGAAGCAGGATGATGGGTCCATATCTCAGAGGCAGAGTATATGCTTTGCATTTATGATTTCCTGAATTCAAGCCTACATTTAAGAGGGTTGTATCAGTTTTATACCAGTTGAACTGCCATAGCTCTGTCCCGCTGTATGCTGAGATGTGTAATCTGTTTAATTCCTAAGAATTATTTTCCAGAGCAGCCATTCTCAATCTCTTTTTTTCACCATGGTCATAAAACACAACATGAAATAACTATAGGTAGAATCAAGATTGTGTTATGTCACATGATGAACCTTATAAGGTGGTGTGTGAAGAATTGTTTCTAGTCTGTGCCTTCTTGAAATGTGCCAGGGGGACCCAGAGAGCCATATGTCCCCCCCATTGGAAACAGCTGTTCTAGAGAGCACTAGTGCACCGCTCTGAACTACAGGGAGGGAATTCTAACTACCACACACACCTATAGATATCCAGGACCTTAGAACAGTTACTCTCATCCAGCCTACTCACCACACAGGGTGGTTATGAGGATAAGGTAAGGAGGAAGCCATATGTGCTCCCTCGACCTTATAGCAAAAGTGGGGTATAAATCCAATTAAATGAGAGCACTGAGGGTGTTGTTGTAGATAGTATATCAGATGAGGATTCAGGTGACCTGGGTTCAAATCTATGCTCAGCCATGGAAACTCACTGGTAGGTCACAGTTGGAAAAAGCATTCTTTAAATATCTCACCTGCCTTGAAAACCGCACTAGGGTCACCATAAGCCCAAAGCAGCACATAAGGTAAATATCTCACATGACTTGAAAACTGGGCATGGTTAAATTACCACTGATTTTGGAAGCTGGTGACATAACTGGACAATTATTGATTGATTCAAGCTCCATCTCACCTTTCTGCCTAAACATGGCACTTGTGGCTGCTAACAATAAAACTCAGACATAAACAGGAATACAATTAAAACATTAAAACAAATTTAAACCAAAATTACAGGATATCTAAAAGGGAAAATAACGGCATCAAATCATAGGAACATTGGATGCTGATAGTAATCAGCTTTAATATCATTTTAATCACTTAAAGCATCTCCAGCAGCAGGTCTGCTGAAATAAAAATGAGCAAGCACAGAGAATGCAAGAATGCCATGTTTGGAATGCACATACATACTGACTGAAATCTCCCAGGCCAAAGGTATGGAACCTGTTTCATTCCAAGGGCTGCATTCAATAGTGGACAGCATTCTAGCAGTGATTGGGGCCAAAGGCAAAGCTATAAGGCCAAAATAACAGCATGTTTTAACTTTAAGTTCTTTCCTTTAAATATGGACTATATGTGCAAACTTGAGACACATGCTTTCTTACAATTTCTGTATTAGTTGAATGTAATTAACAGCTCTCTGGAAGGTGTCTTAGATCATCCAGGACTGCGGAAGTAAAGATGAGGGCCCAGCCAAAGCCAAGACTTTCCAGTTCTCTGAATTTTAGTGAGAAATATTTGAACACATCCTCAACCATTCCAATTCACTGAAATCAGTTACACTTAAGCGCTTTAGTTTGCCTGGGTTGGGTTAATGTGTTAGTGAGGAATGAACTGGCAGTGCTGATATATTTGTGGTGGCATTTATATATTGGACATGTCAAAAAGGATTCTCAAGCAGCTCCTCAGCTTTTGATTGCTTCTAATGAAAACACTGAAACTGCCATTGAGTAAGAAATGTTCAGCTGCTGGGTGGCCTGGTTTACTGCATGGCTCTGTTTTGTGAAACTTAGAATAACAGATTGAAGAGCCTCATAAGTGTGTCAGACTTTCCTGGCCAACGGGAGGATGTCTGAATGTCCAGTTCGATTCCCATTCATTTGAGACCACTGTCGTTATTGTTTTTAAGGCAACAGCAATTAAAGAAAGAATTGGCTACCCTGATGAGATCATGACAGACACTGCAAAGCTGAATGCAGAATACAAAGATGTAAGTACACAAGGAAAGGCATTGCAAGCAACAGCAACAAATGTGACATCTAAATCCAACTTCCCAAACCTGCTGCTCTCCAGGTGTGTCTGTTTACAGTCTGCATCACCACAAGCAAAACACAGCAATGGGCATGTTGGATAACCATCCATCAAGGATGCTTTTGCGTATGGATTCCTGTGTGGATGAATAGCCTTTGAGATGCCTTCCAACGCTACAGGTCTGTGCTTCTGACTAAGGGTGCAGCCCCACTTGGAATTTGAATTGATTCCAGTTCTGACTTTTATATCGTCTCATCGTCATCTAGTCGTTTAGTCATGACCCCATGGACCAGAGCACGCCAGGCCCTTCTATCTTCCACTGCCTCCCGTAGTTGTGTCAAATTAATCTTGGTTACTTCGATGACACTGTCCAACCATCTCATCCTCTCATTTTAAATCTTCTACATGGGGAAGAAGAAATTATTTTCCAATTCCAGGTTCTCTTGTACAAAGCATTTGAGTCTAGAAGCTACTAGATCTGACAAGGGTGATGTAGAAAATGAAATTTTCTGTTCTCATGGCTAAATAATTTACACTCCCCGTTACACAATGGCATTCCTGGGTTGTTCAAGATTATCATAGGATTTCCCAGCGGTAATTACATCTAAATTAAGAAACAGCAAACAAGAATTGTAGAGTGTGTACTCTGGCATGGCACAAACACTTTTCATGGCAGGTCTAGACAAAAATTGGAAATAGCACATTAAATCTAATGTGTTACCTTCAAAACTTGTCATTTTCAATAACAGGGATAAGCCAACTGATGCATCTTGAGGATAACATTTTGAAAGTAACGTGTTCAATCTTCTACTCTTACTTTCAAAATATTGCTCTTAAATGATTATATGCATTCCTCCCCTTTAACAGAAAGCTGACAATTTTAATGTTGACATGTTAAATCTAACACAGTGTTTCCAAACTCTGAGTCTAGAAGTAAAATGAGATACCAGTGCTATGAGAAAAGAGCCTGAAATTATTTATTCCCCTAAAAAGTCAAAAAGTATACATTGAATGAAAAAGAAATGTTATGGAATATCCAGGTAAACAACTGTGCTAGTTACATACCATATCATTCTGCCAAGTTTATCATTAATATGCTCTTGAGTTCAATGGCTGCCATTCCATATTAATTGGACAATGTTTGCCCCACTTTGTCCCTCATATTGGTGACTTGTTTAACAGGCTTACAAGACATTCTATTGAACAGGCAGACTTTTTGGATTATCCTATGAATTACACTTAGATGGAAGTAATTATTAGAATGCTGGAAATTCTCAACCCTATTGAAGAATATGAAAGTCTAGAAAAGACTAGCCATATACATGCAGAGAGAAGTCCTAAGACTGGAGGGACAGTTTAAATATTAATTCTTTCTGATAGCTAGCCTGAATATTCTGAAAATGGGATTCTGCCCATTGTTATGTTTGCAGAGAATAAAGAAGAGATAGATTAGTAAGTGATTTGCAAACAAAGCCATACTTACAGTTGTCTTCAGCGAACACTACATTGTACTATTATGGCCATTACCATATTTTTCCATGTATAAGATGCCCCCATGTATAAGACACTCACAGCCCCGCTTTTCTAATCCAAAATTAAGAAATCTAAGTGGGGCTTAGCAAGTGTGGGGGAAAGGGATCAAAGCGCTGTAGGATAGCTTTGATCCCTGTTTTTCCCTCCACTTGTTTTTGTTCTCTCCTCAGCTTACTTCCATGTATAAGACGATTTTTCCAAGCTTGCTGGCATATTGAATGTAGCACCTTAACAGCATCATCTTTTAAGATTTTAAATAGTTCAACTGGAATGCCATCACCTCCACTGGCCTTGTTGTTAGCCAGGCTTTCTAAGGCCCACTTTACTTTACTCTCCAGGATGTCTGACTCAAGGTCAGCAACTACATTGTCTGGGTTGTCCGGGATATCCAAATCTCTCTAATATAATTCCTCTGTGTATTCTTGCCACCTCTTCTTGATGTCTTCTGCTTCTGTTAGGTCCCTCCCATTTTTGTCCTTTATCATGTCCATCTTTGCACAAAATGTTCCTCTAATATCTCCAGTTTTCCTGAACAGATCTCTGGTTTTTCCTTTTCTGTTATTTTCCTCTGTTTTTTGCATTGTTCATTTAAAAAGGCCCTCTTGTTTCTCCTTGCTATTCTTTGGAAGTCTGCATTCAATTTTCTGTAACTTTCCCTATCTCCCTTGCATTTTGCTTCCCTTCTCCTCTCTGCTATTTCTAAGGCCTCGTTGGACAGCCACTTTGTTTTCTTACATTTCCTTTTGTTTGGGGTGGTTTTTGTTGCTGTCTCCTGTACAATGCTGCCTCCTATATATCTATATATCAGGCTCCAGTTACATGGTATATAAATTGGTGCCCATTTTCACTTTGACAGAAATTCAATTTAATTTCTGGAATTTATAACCGGTTTTGGTGGTTACACTGGCGAATCAATTCATTTCCTTTCTGTTTTGGGTGCATGCTTTTTGTAAGCTGTTTGAAGTGATACTTCAAAAAATTGATGGATTAATTCATCTTTTTCAATTTTTCACAGTGACAACGCACTAAGTAATGCATCGCTAAACATTTCTGTAGGAATTTTTTTTTAAAAGAAGAGAAACCACAGTGTCAATGCTGCTGAAATTCAGTAGGGGCATCAAGTAAATCAACAGCAATGTCCACAGCCACTAAATTGAAATGAATTAGATCAATTTAGAACTGAGGTGGTATTTTTAAAAGTCCCTACAGCCAGTTGAAAAAAAAATTGCTTTGCAGCCCAAATAATTCTATTTCACCTCTGTATTGTTTAAATCAGATTTTATAAATCAATTGAAATAATGCTTAAATTGATTTATCTGTTGTTCTTACTGACAGTGGAGCTACATCCTCAGTGTTGATTGGTAATGGTGGAAGTTGTAGTCAAACTGGATGGCAGCAGGTTGGGAAATAATAATTTCAGTGGCAGCAGGTACACTGTGTCTCCACCCAACTTGGCGGATTTATCCATTCCCTACATATCATAGTGCATCCCATTTTTTCATGATCCACCAATCTTTGTGTAACATTTGGAAGGACTGCTATGGGTGGGGAAGGAAATCTGCTCTGTGCCAGTTCCATGCTCCAAAGTTTGAATTAGACCAGTAGATTTTTTATTTTTCACTGGCATTTTAAATCTTCTACATGAGGAAGAAGAAATTATTTTCCAATTCCAGGTTCTCTTGTACAAAGCATTTGAGTCTAGAAGCTACTAGATCTGACAAGGGTGATGTAGAAAATGAAAATTTCTGTTCTCATGGCTAAATAATTTACACTCCCCGTTACACAATGGCATTCCTGGGTTGTTCAAGATTATCATAGGATTTCCCAGCGGTAATTACATCTAAATTAAGAAACAGCAAACAAGAATTGCAGAGTGTGAACTGTACCATGGCACAGCCACTTTTCATGGCAGGTCTAGACAGAGATTGGAAATAGCACACTAAATCTAACGTGTTACCTTCAAAACTTGTCATTTTCAATAACAGGGATAAGCCAACTGATGCATCTTAAGGATAACATTTTGAAAGTAACGTGTTTAATCTTTTACTCTTACTTTCAAAATATTGCTCTTAAATGATTATATGCATTCCTCTCCTTTAACAGAAAGCTGACAATTTTAATGTTGACATGTTAAATCTAACAGTGTTTCCAAACTCTGAGTCTAGAAGTAAAATGAGATACCAGTGCTATGAGAAAAGAGCCTGAAATTATTTATTCCCCTAAAAAGTCAAAAAGTATACATTGAATGAAAAAGAAATGTTATGGAATATCCAGGTAAACAACTGTGCTAGTTACATACCATATCATTCTGCCAAGTTTATCATTAATATGCTCTTGAGTTCAATGGCTGCCATTCCATATTAATTGGACAATGTTTGTCCCACTTTGTCCCTCATATTGGTGACTTGTTTAACAGGCTTACAAGACATTCTATTGAACAGGCAGACTTTTTGGATTATCCAGTGAATTACACTTAGATGGAAGTAAATATTAGAATGTTGGAAATTCTCAACCCTATTGAAGAATGTGAAAGTCTAGAAAAGACTAGCCATATACATGCAGAGAAAAGTCCTAAGACTGGAGGGACAGTTTAAATATTAATTCTTTCTGATAGCTAGCCTGAATATTCTGAAAATGGGATTCTGCCCACTGTTATGTTTGCAGAGAATAAAGAAGAGATAGATTAGTAAGTGATTTGCAAACAAAGCCATACTTACAGTTGTCTTCAGCGAACACTACATTGTACTATTATGGCCATTACCATATTTTTCCATGTATAAGATGCCCCCATGTATAAGACACTCACAGCCCCGCTTTTCTAATCCAAAATTAAGAAATCTAAGTGGGGCTTAGCAAGTGTGGGGGAAAGGGATCAAAGCGCTGTAGGATAGCTTTGATCCCTGTTTTTCCCTCCACTTGTTTTTGTTCTCTCCTCAGCTTACTTCCATGTATAAGACGATCCTCAATTTTTAGTCTAAAGATTTTAGACAAAAGTATAGTCTTATACACGGAAAAATATGGTAATATGGGTCCCCCTTCCCAGGCATCTTTCTAGGTCAAGTTCAACACTCAAGATAGTCCTGAGGATAGTCCTCAGTCTGATAGGCTGTTAGAGAACAATGCTATATTTGAAAGGTTGTTTAGTCTGAGTTCCGTTTAAAGACAAAGACCCCTCAGAAGTAAGAGCATCAGGAATCTTGAATTCCCACCAACATGCACATCAACAATGAGCATCTGGACAGTAAATTAAATAGGTACACAGGATCACCGAGTCATAGTCTACCCCACTATGGTAAGATTTATTGAACACCTATTTTAGTTACAGTGATTCCCAGTGTGGTGTTGTGGACAAACCAATAGACTAGGACTCTGGAGACCAGGATTCAAATCCCCACTTAGCCATGGAAGCTCACTGGGGTTGTGGAACTGGTAAAGCCACTCCTTAAATATCTCACTTACTTTGAAAGCCCTGTTAGGGTTTCAATTAAGCCAGTTCCAATTTGACAGCACACAACCACCAACGTTTTAGTTGTAGCACTCGTTTCTACATTTGCACCTATATATATATAAATCACCATGTGCATTTTTAATGCAAAAAGTGTCCTCTTTGTTTTGTGTGATGTGGAAGTACCCACTGTCAACACTTAGCAACTGCACAGGTCTGATTTATTCTCTTTCTTTCTCTCTCTTTCTTAATTGCCATTTCTCTTTTTTTTTCTTTTTAAAAAGTTGAACTACAATGAAGAAGAATACTTTGAGAACATGATTGAGAACTTAAAATTCACCCAGAAGGAAAGGCTGAAAAAGCTGAGAGAAAAAGTAGACAAGGAAGAGTATGTATTTTAACTATTAAAGTACACCCACTTTGCTGTTTTGAAAACAGCTACTGCATGTTTTCTGCTAAAGTTGTGTGTATCGGAAAGGCTGCAGCAGTCTCATGAGGTTTGGCTCTTTTTTAGAGTATCGTATCCCATTGGAGAAAAGACTACTGTCATTTTGATGTTGTGAAGTGGAGCCTCCCTTCATCTATTATCCACTGCCACATAATGTGCCTTTTTTCCTGGTGGAAGGGAGGGAAGCAGCAAACCAAGCAGGACAAGTAAAACTAGAAGCAAAGTCCTGCTTGAGTTGGGCTACATAGCAGGATTTTGCTAGACAAACTCTGAACAAGTGTGCTTGCTTTAAGGTTAGACTAGACAACTCATTTATTACATATGTTGCAGAGGTGCTCCTTCAAAGGGAGATATGTCTGTCATAGCATGTGACTTGTCTCATGTACATATTTTGCATTGAGTTTGTTCGGTGTTGTGACTGGGCACTGGAAATTGCATATGATGATCTTAATTTGCACGTGTGATAAGATACTTATAACTGAGGAAATTCCACTGAGGGAAGGAAAACAGCATAATTACAGGGCATATGAATTTCCACTAATATTTGGTTTTGCCCTGAACTAGGCAACCTCTGCATCAAACGTTCATTCTCATTCATTTTGATCCTGTTGAACTGCTCAGGACCTGGACTCCTCCTGGTCTTTTAAGGGTACACAACAAACTCAGAACTGCATTCCTTTGCCTTCCCTTTCTTCTCCATGAGACACCCATGCATTGTGCTCTTCAAAATGTTTGTATTTCGGTTTAAAAGTAGGTTCATTGTTTCAGCTAGTGACAGTGTTTTATTGTATTTTTATTGTATTTATTACATTGTGTTCTTATTGTATATATTTATTGTATATTGTGAACTGCACAGACGAGAGCACTAACACTAATGGATGACATTGAAGTGGAAATAATAAATAAGTAAATAAATGATTCAAAGCACTGGGGTTATTTTTGCTAACCAGTTTCTGAGTGGTTTAATGTGATTATTATTATTTTTTTCCTGCCAATGCAGTCATCATTAACACCTCCATTTGTCTCTTTAACTTTCTGTAGGTGGATAAGTGGAGCTGCTGTCGTCAATGCCTTTTATTCAGCAAACAGGAATCAAATTGGTACGTTGGGCTTCATTGTCTAGTCATTTCAGGAAAAAGAGGTTGTTTCTTGGCCCTGACACTACTCAGATTTTGACTAAGTCCAGAACCAGAACTTTAATTCTCCTTTGCTCATCTATCTGATAAGCATTTTCTTGTCACAGCATTATACCATATAAAAACGCTCCTGATAGATCTGCTTGCTTGATATTGGATGCCTTTGATCCAGTTTATGAATGTGAGATGTTGTGCTTGGATCTGCTTGTTTGATATTGGATCCCTTTGATCTATAAAAGTTAATTCTTCACAATATCTCCAGTTTATGAATGTGAGATGTTGTGCTTCTCTATCCGTGATTCAAAACTTTAGGTAATGGCCTGATATTGCTGTGCAATATTGTGCTTCAGGTAATGGCTTGATATTGCTATGCAATATCGTGCCCGTATTGTCAGCAGGAAAAAGGATGCCAAGCTTTACATAGAAAAAGGGCAGTCTGAATGTTGATGACACCCATATCAGTAGTCAAGATAGTCTGCAGGATACCCTCCTGTGCTCACTGCCATTCACAAAGAGATAACAAGCAAGGGTATCCCAGAACCTGGCTCCTTTTTTCATCAGTTAACCACTTCTCACCCAAGCAAAGCAATTGTCAGGGCTGTTTTGGGGGAACAGAGCAAGAGCAGATTGCCTGCTATAAATGTAGCAAATTTGCTGTCAGTCTGAAGCCTAGTTAGTGAGTTAGTTAGTTAGTTAGTTTCAGCTGTCCCCATGTTTCGAATCTTCTTATAAAATGTTGATTTGCTCCACTTTACAATATCAGAGGCACAATTCTAGTGCACCTTCAACAAAACCTTGCTATCTGGAATGCTCACCTTGTTGCAGTGCTTCAAAAGCTTGTTTATTTTGTGGTTTCCTTGGTTTATGTTCTTTTGATATTGCTCTGGAGTAGAGATGGGGGTATTTGATGAATATCCCCACACAGGTTGCATTAACGAAGGTCCAGCCCCATGGGGCCGGACGGTCCACTCACCAATCCACCGCAGACGCGGACTGCACGATTCTACCAATCACTCCGCAGCGTGCTATCCGCTTGCCTCTCTTCGACCTTGCAGTGAGGCTTGTCCTCCTGCCTCCTGCCAGGAGTGGCGAGTGGATAATGCTCTGCAGATCGATTGGTAGAATCACGTGATCCATGTCTGTGGCAGATCAGTGAGTGGGCTGTCAGGCCTCATGGGGCTGGATCCTCATTAACGCCACTTGTGCGGGGATATTCGTATACAAATACCCCCATCTCTACACTGGAGCTATCTGTGTTTGAAAAGAAACATCTATTGTTTTCTTTCTAAATACATGAAATATATCAAACTCAGCCTTTGCTCTAGGAAAGGAATAATTGTGTAACGATTATACCAGGAATGGGTAACCTTTGGCTCTTCAAATGTTTGGACTACAATTCCCATAATCCCTTAGCATTGACCATTCTAGTTGGGGCTTTTCAGCATTTTAGGCCAAACGTCTGTCAAATGAAATGTCCCCACATTCTTGGCTTACAAACTGAAGCATGAAATGGAAATTTAAGGAAGTGACAGAGCTGGAATTGAATTCTAAATGTTCAGTTGATCTCTTCTTGCAGTGTTCTGCTTAGTTTTACACTAAGCATGAAGCCAGGATACAGAACAATTTGCAGTTGTTTGCTCTTAACTGTCTTAGAGATGGTTTTCGAAAAAAGGTGATGTGGAAGTAACTTCTGCACTAGGTTCTGAAATGGAAGGGGCAGTTTACGACCACTCTGGGATTATAGTTTCACACTTTACTAACACAGCAATGCTGAGAAGCCTAGCAGGGAAACCATCTTAAAACAGGGGAGGGAGGGATTGCTGTCCAGTGCTCTATTTTCACACTTAATTAACACAGCAGAAAGTGCAGTTCGCTCTGAGCAAACACATTTCTCCTCTGCAGAGGAGGTGGTTTCTTGGTTTCTTTCCTTGTGATCAGTTTACTTTTTAGCCTTTCTGCTGAAAAGCTGTGCAAAGACATTCTGTGGCTCAAGGTGTAAACTGCAGCAACAAGAGCTGACTAGATAGCTCGGTGGTTTGTGTATCTGGCTGTGGAGCCAGCGATGAGGAGTTCAGTTCCCCACTGTGAATGCCAGAAGAATCAGCCAGTGTAGCCTTGGGCAAGCTGCACAGTCCCAGGTTGTCTCTAGATGCAGAAGTAGGTAAACCATTTCTGAGTATTCTCTACCTGGCGAACCCTGAAAAGAGTCAACATAAGTCAGAATTAACTTGACAGCACGTGATTATTATTTATTATTGAATACATTGCCTGAGGGTTGGTATATATATATAGTGGCTTTCCTAAAAGAATCATGGGAATTGTGGTTGAGCAGGAATGCTGAAAGCAGGAAGTCATAGCTTTGGTCTTTGCTTCAGACCTCCACTTCCTGGTTTCTCTAGAAAGGCTAATAAGTACAGTGGTGCCTCGCTTGATGGCATGAATTCGTTCCAGCGAAATCGCTGTAGAGCGAAAATGTCGTCAAACGAAATTTTAAAAACCCATTGAAATGGGTTACAGAAGTATGGGATGGAGTACTGCTGTTTTTCTTTAAAACCACAGTAGTTTGATAATTCAAAATAAATTGTGTAATAGCAGGAAAGTCTCGGCAGCTCAAGCTGCACATGCTCTGTCCATTCTAATGAAATGAATATTCCTCCCAGAAGGACTGTTGGAAATATGCAGCTTTGAGCCAAAGGGTATCGGGATTAAGTGTGATCTCAAATTGCTCATGTGGCAATAAATAATGCTAACCACAATGGATCAAGACCAAGAGGTCAAACCAAAGCAGAAGAAGGGATCAGCCAAATATAATGAATGGTTCCCTGCATGCTCATCCATCAATGCAGTTAGGGAAGCCAAGCATAATCTGTTTCTTACATCATGGCTAATGAAAGGCAAGCTCAACCCAAATGTGGTAAATTTACCTTGGCTACAGTCTCTGTGAGAAAAGGTCTGGGACTAGATCGTACTGTTTGTCCCAGCTAGGGTAGACCTGTTGAATCAATGGCACATAGGTAAGTGTTAAGTTAACAAGTTCCATTCATTCATTAGTTTGGGACTTAGCCCTTGGGATGGAGAACAGCCTTGGTTCGTCAATGGTAAAACAAAATGCAAAGATGGGCTTTTCTGAGGACTACTGCGATAGGGAAAGATGGGGTGAGCTTTTAAGTTGCTGCTAACTCTGCCGTTCCCTCTTAACCCCTCAAGCAATATTTTTAGTGCAAAGACAAGATAAACATTTAATAACAAATATTTACTTAAAATTGTACAACAGAAACTGCTAATTACCAATCCAGGCCAGAAAACTATCTAGTCTCATGAAAACCGGCAACAACAAAGCAAAATTTTCTGCTACGCAAAAGCAAGGCTAAATGAAGATCATCATCACCATCATTCTCTTAGAACGGCAGACTGGAAAGGGACCCTAATGGATCATTGAGTCCAGCCCTAGTCAAGGAGGTTCAGTGGGGAATTGAACTCTAAACGTCCGGCTCTGCCTTAACCATTGAGCTATCCAGACACCCTTTAACAGGGATGTTTATTCATCTGGAAACTTTTTAAAAGACTGATCTATTTTGTTCCTATTCAGTGCATAAAAAATATTGGGACAAAAGTCTTTGTGGTCATGTTAGTAATGAAAGCATTCAGGAAATTTGGATTCTTTTCCTGGCACCTTTTGAATGAGCTGTCAGGGAAAGAACTGTGGTTCCTTTGGCAGAACTGCATTTCTTTGTTGATACGGACCAATGTTTTGCTAGTTAGGAAGGCCCTCCTAGGAATAATTTTATTCTTGGGGATTACTTGAGATTGCTCAATTTTTCTCAAAAGTCATTAGCAAGCATTGGCTTGGTGCAAAGTAGCTCAGAATGACCATCTCATCTATTAAGAATAGCATTTCTTTAACACGGTTTTGATGCTTAGTGCCATGATACAAAAGGAAGCCATTCATCAAATTGCAGAGTGGTGGCAACCAATATACACGTGGATTAATACATTTAATTTTTTTTTTATTTATACTGCTGTTCCCCAAAACCATGTGTAGGGAAGGTTATATGCGATTTAAACTCAAGTTATTACAATTTTATTGTTTCCTGAAGCAACGGGTTTCCCTTGCTTTTCTGAGCTGTTACAGGGTGGGTGTGGCAATTACAGAATATGTTTTCTTGAAAATGTGGAAATATAATAGTCAATGTGGAGGAATATGAGAAGATGGTTTGTGTATGCATATATGACCCTACCTTCTCTGAAAAAAACAGACGGGACAATGCTCACATTTGGGGGAAGCTGCAAGATTGCAAATAATTAATCTGACATGAATAAAGGTTTGGAAAAGCTGGTGGTTGCCTGCAACATCAGAATCTGTTCCTCTCAGTGACACTATAGTGGGAAAATGTAATTAATCTAGCATGTGAGAGCCTGAAATGGCAGCCTGATGATTCAGGGGAAAGCTTTGGACCTATGGAACAGAAGAAATTCCAGGAAGCATAATAAAAAGCGGAAAAAAAAGATTAGCCAGTGGGTTAAAATGGGGCAGGGAAGAGGATTCATAAAGCTCAAATTAAATGACACATGATTATCATGAGTTTTACAGAAATGCTCTCCCCAGTGACGAAAAACAGCAGTTTGTCATAGCATGTTATTTGCATCTAATGTATTTTGTGTTGAGTTAGTCACTGAAAAGTAGACATAATTTGCAAGTCTGATTGCTGGGACACTATCTCTGGAAAAAATGGCATTGTGGGAAGGAAAGCAGATGAATCAGAGGAAACACACCAGTATGATCCTGGGAAGCAGAGGAAGTTGCAAAGAAGTCAAGGGAGGAAAGAGAAATGGAAATTTGCAGAAGAAAGGCCAAGCAGCAAAGGAAAACATATGAGCCCTTGGCATTTAAGAGCAAATTAGAGAACTATCTGTCAGATCTGCTTTGATTTGGATCCCTGCATTGAGCAGGGGGTTGGACTCAATGGCCTTATAGGTCCCTTCCAACTCAATTATTATCTGATGATTATTATTATTCTACTCAGGCCAGAAAAATCCCAGACAAATGAAATTTGAAGGCTAAACTGCTATGTATTTGCAAACCCAAAAGGTGGGTGCTTGATTCACCATGATAAAATCCAAGGCTACAAAACCATGTATGTTGATAATATAACTGGATTATGGAGACCTTTTCCCACAGAAGTGGTAACCTTGGCAGTGATGCCAAGGACTTATTCAGTTGGCCTGCCCACAAAGTGACAGTATTCACCTATCAGCTTTCAACTGCATTGTATTAAAGAGGTTCTCATGGTTGTAGTATGCCCACCAAAGACACCTGGCAAATTGATCTAGAATTTATCAGGTGTCCTTTGCAGGCACATTGTAAGAATGGGAACTTTTGGATTATAATGTAATTAGAAAGAGAGTGGATTGGAATGGGAAGAGTGTGTGGGTACTTACCATGCTGACAAATCTAAAAGCTTTCTGGAATGGTTGTTTTTGTTTGTACATTTTAGTTTTGCAAATGAGCACAATTGAAAACCGTCATCTATGGTGTCATCTCTCTTGGTGCAGTCTTTCCTGCAGGCATTTTGCAACCACCCTTCTTCAGTGCATCCCAGCCGCAGTCCTTGAATTACGGTGGCATTGGCATGGTCATTGGTCATGAAATCACACACGGCTTTGATGACAATGGTGAGATAAATGGGTGACATTTCACCGTAAGAAGTATTGTGACTAAGCTGTATGACACCTGCTAGCAGTGGGGTCAGGACACCCATGGGGTGGCATGAAGGCCTCAGTCAGGACTTCTGTAGGTTGGGCGCCCTGTTGTGAACAGGACATCTGGTTGAAATCTCAGGCACACCATAGTGCCAATTGCGTTCCTCTTTCCTCATCTCCATGCATCTTTCCAAGAGGGTTGGTCTGCTGACAGACTGTACTTTGGTCCTGATCCTAAAGAAATTGAGAAGCTCTAATGGCAACCACCACAGCTGAGGTGGGAATCAGACCTCACAGCTATTTTTACAGCTCCCATACACTCACACCCAAATTATTATATCTGTACAATAATATATTCACAAAAATTAGAAAATTGTCTCTGTAAGTATGTTCCTCCACACATAGGATCATGTGGAGAAACATACTATCTGGAAAACCTTTTTGCCATTTTTAAAAAAATACTAGAACTATGTTTTGTTTCTTTTACCTTCTGATATCCAGTGTGGCATAAGGGTTAGAGTGATGGACTAAGACTCAGGAAGCTTAGCTTCAAATTTCCACCTGGCCATTGAAACTCACTGAGGGTATCGAACAGATAAAGCCACTCCTTAAATATCTAACTTACCTTGAAAGACCTATTAGGGTCTCAATAAGTCAGTTCTGACTTGATAGCACATAACATAACCTTCTCTGACTTCTTGTTCCATTTTCATTCCCAAGGATCTTAGAGCCATAAAAAGGACCCCCAGACTTCTGTAATTTTCTTATTCATCCAGAAAAGCTATACTTAATACTTTTGAGTCTGGAGAGCATGCTTGTGGGTGTAGTGGACATGATACGATTTAATGCTTGTAAAGTGAAAAACCTGGTTGGTTTTGACACTGTTTCACAAGTGCCTGTGAGGTCACCACTACCACACACTTCCAAGGTGCCGAATCCACCACCATGAACAGGTTCAGTATTTTGGATAGCCCTTTGATCATTCAGCCCAAAATGCAGAGGAGATTCGCTGCCTCACAAAATTAGAGTCACCAACTTCCACTGGCTTCCACTCAAATTAGGCAATGCTAAGATGTATGGTTTGCTGCAGTCTAAAGCAAATGTTGTATTTTCACTGTCTTCTTGGCCATCACTGCATATTCTTTATTTCAGGTAGAAATTTTAATGAGAATGGAGACCTTGTAGACTGGTGGAGTCAAGAATCTGCGAAAAATTTCAAGACACAATCTGAGTGCATGGTATACCAGTATGGAAACTTCTCATGGGATCTGGCTGGTGGGCAACATGTATGTCCTTTCTTTCTTGATGATGTGATCATATAGAGATAGAGATACATGGATACCCAGTAGAGAGTGTGATGAACTAGGACATAGGAGACTGGGTTCGAATCCCTGCTCAGCCATTTAAACTCACTGGGAGGTTGAGCCAGTAAAACCACTCCTTAAATATCTCACTTACCTTGAAAGCTCTGTTCGGTTAGCAATAAGTCTGTTCTGAACTGATGGCATGTAAATAAATATAGATTCATATATAATTTCATTATGCAACAAAACATCTGTGTTTCGTTACACTGGAGAACCAAGTATAATCTTTTACAATATCTACATTTGTGTACACATATTTGCTGGAAATGAGATTTGCTTCCCACCTCACAGAGCTTATGTTTAGATCCCTGGTGGGCAAATCACAATCCCCAAGGTCCCGTTGGATTGCAGCTCCCCTCAGACCTAGCCACCACAGAGTATGAGAACTGTCATTAACACTCAGCTGACAGCTTGCAATTTCTGGTGACATGTAATATGGGTTCCAAATTCCTTCACAGAGGTTGCAGAGCAAATGGGTTTTATTATTGCTGTTCCTTTTGACAGAACTCACCCAACATTCAAAGCGTGTTGTCATTTTCGTAGTCAAAGGCTAGCTGCATGCAATATCACCAAGTTCAACTAAATTATTGCTCAGCCATGGAAACTGATGGGGAAGTGGAACTGATAAAACCATTCCTTAAATATCTCACTTACCTTGAAAGCCCTATTAGGCTCACTTTAAGTCAGTTCTGATTTGACAGCACAGAACGCATATACTGTAGGTACCATGGTCTGTGTATACAATACATAATGTCCCATGAATTAAATTCTGACTTAAAACTTTTCCACCCCCATGTGTTTTCAGCAATTCAGCTCTCTCCACTAATCCTCATAATGAACTCATTCCCTCCTGTATTTTGTTTCATACTTTTAATGTTCTCCATTGCATGTCTGGATTGTTTAAATCCTTCATTTTGACCTTCAGCCCAGGAACCATTGTGCTTCTTGGAACAGACCATTTTGTTCAACAGGAATGTCAAGCAACATTTTCATCTCTTCCTTGTTTGTTTGCAGCTCAGTGGAATCAATACCCTTGGTGAAAACATTGCTGATAATGGTGGCATTAGACAAGCATATAGGGTGAGAAATGTCTATGTGTCTTCAAAGTTCACTGCTAGAATGGAAAGAGTTGAGGAAAAAGCCATTTAGATTTTAAAAAATTGTTTGTCAGAAACACGTGTTGATATCGCTTTTAAGAATACAGGAAACTACATTAAACCACTGGCCCATCTAGCCAAGGGGTTCCCAAGCTTGGATCCCTAAATGTTCTTGGACTAAAACTCCCAGAAGCCTTCACCACTAACCCTGCTGGCCAGGATTTCTGGGAGTTGCAGTCCAAGAACATTGTGGACACAAGGTTGAGAACCACTGATCTAGCCCAATATTGTCTGTTCTTAGTGGCAGTGATTCCACAGGGATTCAGGCATGATTATTTTCTACCAGGAGATCCCTTTTATTTCCTGGTGGACTCCTATCCAAGCACTAACCAGGCATGATTCTGCATTGCTTCTGAAGCCAAATGAGACCAGTATATTCACCTTGTGTTCTTTTTAAGGAGAAAGGTGAGATAGATAGATAGATAGATAGATAGATAGATAGATAGATAGATAGATAGATAGATAGATAGATAGATAGTTTTGATAGCTAATTTATCAAAGCTTCAAAATTTAGTTATATACTTTCTAGCATTTGCTAGGGCCCTCTACATTATTATATATTCAATGCACCCTTGGACATCAAACTGTACCAAAAATTGTACTGCCCCCACCCCATGCAGACAGACATGTTTGTCCTGACACCTGATTTGTCTTTCTTTCCTGTGACAACATTTATATAAACAAACATAATTCACAAAGAACAAATATCTGTATCTCTGGACAATCATTTTGTGATGAGATGTGATGGTTAATGGGGCATTTTCACAAATTGTTTGCTTCTGACTTCTCATGGGGCGTTAGGGAAGAATGGTCCAGCATGCTGGCAAGGTAGATAATGAGGCAAGTAATATAATTCTGATGAAAGGTTAAGTGATGTAGAACTTTCTTTCATGTGATTATGGGAGAAGCTCCCTGCTCTATATTTTCATTATCTTAGTTAAAAGAGTACAGAACACACAGTCAAATTAGCTGACTGTCCAGGACAAAGGACATTCTGGTCAAGACTGCCCTGTCTTTGCCTCTCTATACAAACATCACAGCTCTTTAACTTTCACTTAAATTTATCAAGGTTATCAACAGTTTAACCAGAGTAAATAAAAACAAATGACAGCCTCCTTCCAGTACCTTATTGTGATCTTCTTGCTAGCATAAGATGATCTAAGTGGATGTGGCAAATAGCTTCTACAAAGAATCCCAAAGCATTCCAAGCTAGGCAAACTTTTCCATGAGAGCAAACCTGCTTTTACATTTTGCATGTTATTGTCCTGGAGGAAACTGTATGCCATCTATAACTGGCATCTGTAATGTTATATAGCACATTTCTGTTGTCATTTCTATTATTGTGATCCATGACTGGCTGGATCCTGGAGTTGCGGTGAGGGGACGGCAACTAAGCCTTGAAGTTTCACACAAATATTAGTTTACAGAAGCTGTTGATAGTTAATGGAAAAATATGTAAGGTACAAAGTTAGTCAAGTCTAAGCCCATTACAGAAACCATGACTGAAAGCTACTTCATAATTTTGTGGCACTGTGATATGCCAGGGCTTGACTTGTGTTTGCAAAACACATCAAGCATAAGGGAAAACACATCTTTATTAAGTCATATATAATCTGGATGCATGGTGTTGATTGTGTGTTTCCAAGTGCTTAGTGCTTCAGCATGCCATCAGGCGAAGCTGGAGGCTTCCCTCCTCCCTTGGGGGTTGGTGAGGAGAAATCAAGTTCAGTTATTTCTAAAGCAATCATTAATTATAGCCCTAAAAGTGGTTTAATAGCCATGTTTTTGCATGAGAGGTCTGCCCACATTATAGATGCCCAAACTGAAGATTGATAGAATTCCATGGCTGTGATGTCATACCAATAGACATAAGCATCACTGAACTTTGTGGTGTGTATATGCTTAAAGCTAGATGGTTTAACTCACAGAAACAATGGGATATTATGGCAAGATTTTTCAGCTTCTGCCTTCTTCAGCTGCATTTTAGAACAAGACAACTGTTCTAAAAGGAGGCTGTTCTAAAACAGAGAGAGCAGAATATACCAAAGTGGATGGATGCTGCCAGATATTGTCCTCTTAGGTTCAAGCCACACGGTGCTACAGGATCTTGATATGTCCATCCACTTTGGAACGCCCTGTGTTCTATATGGCTCACCTTGATATACCACATTTTTATTCAGAACAACAGAAGAAGGAAGAAGCCCAAAAACCTTGTGATGATATTTATGTATTTCTCTTTTATTGGTCACTTTAATAAATGTATGTTTTGAGTACGGTAATTAATTAAATTCTCCTGTGATCCAGAACAGACTTGTTTGAAGTGATGCTTGATGTTTTAAAATCTTTCTTTCTCCTCTTTCTGTTTCTCTCTGTTGCATTACTAGGAAATGATAACCTCTCTCCCTCTCTTTGTCTGTTTGTTTTTTTGTGGGGTGGGGGGCACAGGCCTATCGAAACCATATCAAAAAGAGTGGAGAAGAGAAACTGCTTCCTGGAATAGACTTCAACCATAAGCAGTTGTTCTTTCTGAACTTTGCACAGGTATTATACGTTCCTTGACTGAAAGCTCTGAAAATTATTTTGAGTTACAATTTCACAGTTAAGTTGGAAACAGCAGGCTGGCTTTTCTCCTTTTAATATGAACTGGCAGAATTGCTAAGTCAAACAGCCTTCGTAGCAGCTGCGCCAAGAGGAAAGTGACCTGTCAGGTTCCGTTAATCACAGCTTAGTGCATGAATGCATTCAGAAGGTGAGTCTGTGGAGCCTGGTTATGTGTGGACGTAGAGTATTGTTGTTTTTAAGGACTTGGCAGCAGGCAGCACTTTAAACATCTTCTTTCACTGTCTCAGTTTTGAATGTCATGTAATCGCCTCAAATAGACCTGAGCAAAACTAAGGTAACACTGCTCTTATACAACCCATTCTTTCAATCTTTTGTTGTTGTTTTCCAAGATATGGTGCGGAACCTACAGGCCAGAATATGCTGTCAACTCTATTAAAACAGATGTGCACAGCCCAGGCAAATTCAGGTCAGTGTTGTAAAGCATCCATTTACAAAATAGTTATTTATTTACACCGAGATCCTTGTCTACAAAAGATCATACCACCATAAATATGTTGGCTTGGGAAGGTGCTGCATGATTTTGTTCTTTCTGTCTTATTCACTATTCAGTTGAGAGTACTGAGAAATTGTGCTCTCCCATAATCTGGTGTCTTCCTGATGTACTTACTTGCTTGGGATTAATGGCTACTGTGTGTGCCCCAAGAAAAATGAAAACTGCTAAAACAACACTGGCGTGGTGTCGTGGATTAACCCAGCTGCTCTGATTTTTTTTACCCTCTATGGGAGTTTGGAGAGGGAGACTGTCAGGATAATTCTGCACCTCAGAATTATCACTCTGCTATTGGAAATATGACAATACCCTTCCTCCACCACATCAACCCCACCTCAATATTTTGTTGTTGCCTGTTAAGCCAACTTCAGCGCACAGAAATCTGGACTTGACTGTTAACTAGAGATGGTCGTGAACCACCACTTTCATAGTTTGTGCCAGTTCAGTAGATGGCCAAACCGGCGTTCTATGGTCCGGCACCCTGCCCCCCTCCGGCAGGCGCCCACTCAAAGACAATGCCCAGCAGAGGCACAGCAGGGAACCCAGGATGCTGCTTCTGAGTGGGCAGCCACCAAAGGGGTGGGCACAAAACCATGGAATACTATGCCTATCCCTTCTGTTAACCTGTGTGCAATTCTCTTAAAAGACGACGGTAAAATAGGCATTTGAAGACAAGCAGCAAGATACTAGAAAGTTTGTTTTGTAATTCTCTTATAATGGAGATCAGTGTAGAAACTGAGCCTTATAAATTTGTTCAACAACTAACACTCTTGACAGGTTGATAAAGAGTGTTTTCAAACTGCATACTTAATGCTTATAAAGGATAATGTGCACATATGTCTGCAGTCTGTTCTAATTTGCAGAATGCTAGCAATAGATAACATTTGAGAAACGATGGTCAGAATCCTGTCCGTGTTCGCATACATAACTTGCCAGGCCTAATTGACAAGGTTTCAGGGTACATCTTGATCAACTGCGTGTCATGCACCTGACCTCACAACTGAGATTCTCCAGGCAACTCATCCATTAGCCACAATTAGCAGCAGCTGACAGTGCAAACTTGTTGTTGTTGTTGTTGTTGTTTAGTCATCTAGTCGTGTGTGTGACTCTTCGTGACCCCATGGACCAGAGCACGATAGTGGAGAGTTCCAACTAAACACAATTCACCTGGAGTAGAAATTGGCAAGCCACTCCAGTACCTTTGCCAAGAATACCCCATGAACAGAAACAAAAGGCTAAAAGATAAAACGTACACAAACACAAATAGGACACAAGCTGCTGTGTTTTCTCCTTTAATTAAATCACAATGGACTAATAAAGGAAAAATACTAAATATTGTTCTAGATTTCTAAGTACTAGTGCTGCCTGCCAAATTTGGTGGACTTGTCTATGAAAGCTCACATTGAGATAAAGCAGTCTTTAAGGGACCACCACATTTTTCTCTTTTCATTTGTTATTTTATTTTTATTATTTTCATTTGTTCTTACTTATAATTTATTTATTTATTCTATTTATATCCCGCCTATCTGGTCTTGCGACCACTCTAGGCAGCTACTCTAGGTCTACCAATTTTCAGCGTGCGGTATAATCCCACGTGGTCAAATTCACATCAGTTTTGAAAGAGAACATTTTCTATCAAATTCTCACTTTATATTGTGGGAACCTAACTCTTGCTTGTACTTTTCATTTTAAGTGAAAGCAGCAACTGTTCCTGAAGTTGGCAGAAAAATGGTATTTTCATGTGGGTGTATTCTTGCAGATTTTTTTCCCTAGGAGATCTGTGCCTTTTTCACTAAGGCAATTATTTTCAAAATCCTGCATTCAGCCTAATTTCTGCTATAGTGTTTGCTCTGATCAGCTGCAGTTTCCAGGACTGTTGCTGAATGTATATTTTATTCATTTGCACTGTGCGTTCATTGTTTGGGTTCATTGTTTCCACTTGGATATGTAGTTTGAATTTTTCTAAAAAGCCCTGCGTTGTACTTTACCCAAGTACTTGTATATAGATTATAGGCCCATTCTGGGCAACTCATAATAATATGCTTTGTTGTGCTGTTGTTGGCCAGAGGGAAAGTGAAATGGCAACTCTGGCTACTATTGGGATGCCAGATAAGGGAATACTAATAGGATGTATAGGTTTCCTGAGGTGTCATAATAACTTTTGAACCACTGGTACTCATTATGCCCATCCGCTTGATCAAGTATCCAAGGAGAATCCTAAAATGGAAGCAGCTGCATCTGTCCCAACAAATGAAACGCTCCAAATAGTTTTCATCTTCATTGGCAGCAGGCCTTTTATAAATCTAATGGGATTTATTTGCTCATTCAAAACCAGTCCCTCCTAAAATATTACTTGAAGACTGAAGATAAGGTCAGGGTGAACATGAAAACTTGAGAGAGATGACAGATGACACCACTGTCCCTGTTAATCAAAACATCCCAGAATAATGACCCTGAAAACACGGGCTGTGTTTTACGACTGCTGGTGGGCCTTTAAGCTGTATATACCCAAAATCCTGTTTCCTGATGACAATTTAGGATGGAGATAGGACTCTGTGCAGGATTTTTCAGAATTTTTGATTGTATGCACAGAGACTTTTCTCTTCAGATTTAGCACTCTACATGTGAGTCCTGAAACAAGGCAAGGCTAGGCTAGCCTGCCCCAGGGATAAGATGAACCCATTTATTGAACATCCACATGGACTATTGTTTATACATGGTTTCTTGCCACAGACACCCTCCTTAGTGCAGAGGGCAAACCAATTGGGGAACTGTTGCTGTGCAAAGATAACATGCGATTAACAGCTACAGTGTCAATATAGCATAAAACTGGATCTTACTTACAGGCCACCTATAAAAATGCTTGTCTCAATCCAGCAAGGGGGATTCATGGAGCCTGTAATCAGATTCATATGAATGAGTTGGCTTTCACAGTTAAGGCAGGGAAGGAAATTGTCACACATGAAAAGCAGTGGATCCAAAATTCTTCCACTTTAACCAAAAGACATGCTTCTTCCTTGGATTTTCACTTGGGCAAAAAAGGAGAAAGAGGCAAAAGAGTACGTCTGAGTCTTTCACTGTTTAGATCACAAGCCCTCTTCAGCATTGGAAACTTTACTTTTGGGGGGCTATCTGACCCAGAATCCTCCAGCCAAGAGTAACATTTTAAAGCTTTGGCCCTCTTTTCTTCTAGCCATAATGCCAATTAGCTATACCTCTGCTAGGAGTGACATTTTTAGTTCCACAGTTATCAACTTTGGGTAATCCAAATCTTCTTGGACTGCAACTCCCAGAAGCCTTCATGACTAGCTATGCTTGCCAGGGTTTCTGGGAGATGCAGTCCAAGAATACCTGGGTTATCCAATACAGTATTGGGAACCACTGTTCTAGTTGAACTAGGATTATTATTTTATAATTTATAAAACACATGCTTTGGGAGTGGTTGACAGAAGTATAATTTCTGTCTTGTGACTGGGCCTTAGATTGCCATTCATACAAAATGAAAACTATATAACAGAAGTGCAAAATACTCTGTTTCCCCGAAAATAAGACCTAATCTGAAAATAAGCCCTAGTATGATTTTTCAGCATGCTCGTAATATAAGCCCTACCCCCCAAAATAAGCCCCAGTGAAGAGAAACCCCGCCCTCCACCATTGTGCAGCAAGCAAAAGAAGTTGACATGACTGTATTTGAATAAATGTAGATTGTTTTACATGAAAAAAAATAAAATATCCCCTGAATATAAGCCCTAATGCATTTTTGGAACAAAAATTAATATAAGACCCTGTCTCATTTTTGGGGAAACACGGTAGCTTTTGTGGAAACCACGGACTAAAAGGGGGAAAGTGAGATTAACCTTCTTCTTTGTTCAGTGTTTACTTGTGGAGTAGACCCAGTGATACTAAAATGTTATTTTGTCTTACTTAAAGGGTCTTGGGAACACTACAGAACACCCAAGAGTTTTCTGAAGCCTTTAAATGTACCAATACACAATACATGGATCCTATGAAGAAGTGCCGAGTTTGGTGACAGAACTACAGGCAGCGACACCCAAGAAACACAAGCTTTCCAGGAACCTGGTATACTTTTTGGGTGGCAGCGGGAATGAAGTGGCTGCAAAAGGAACAATTAAGAAAAACCCGTAAAGTGCATTAACACAACACCTTCTCCAGGAAAGAAAAAGGAAGACATTCAGCAACTGCTAACAGCTCCCCATGCTAAACTCGGGAAATGCTACATGGTTGCATACATATGGCTTCTTTATTTCTCAGTATCATGTAGCTTTAATTATGATTTCTAGTCAGTCTGCAGATTTTGTTTCAGCCAGTCCATCAAGATTGCCTTGAAAACACGTTCCCTGTATGCAAGCATGCTCAGCCTTAACAGATTATCCTGATGTGCATAACCAGAGAAAATAAGAAAATGTCAAGGAACACCAATTGCTTGGACACGGGAAGCAACAAACCGAGCATTTGCAGCAGGAGTGTGAGATTCTGCATCAACTCTAATTATGGCTCATGTTTCATCAAGTGCTTGTTTTTCACAGATGGCATTCAGAACGGTAAGGCCCAGATGAAAGAGAAGCCTGTAAAGGACCTACGCTCCTAGCTGTAGTGGCAAGCAGCCAATCACATATAAGAACTGATGGCTCGAAATGGAATGGTTCTCCCCGTTCACAATCCAAAGATGTACAGGATCAGCAGAGTACTAATAAGTATTGCCATACAGTTTGGGACGTGCAATCAGATGCAATCCCATTTCTTGCAGGACCAGTGTCATGTGACTGGCATTGGCCCACTGCTGGATGAAGGCAATGCCACTGAGAAGGCCTTCTTCACGTCTTGCTGCTTCTGCTTTTGTTATCTTAATTGGAGACAGCTAGCATGGCTAGCTGTTTCTCCTTCTGATTCCATCACGTGCCACGTATGAGATTCCAATTTCTGCCAGCTGTATGTCCTATGTCCTCAGACTCCCTCTTGAGGCTTTGCCTGCTTCTTTTTTTCAATCCGAACCTCTTTTTATGAGAACAATCCAAAGACAAATTATAATCTATTTAAGGGATTAACACTTAACCAAATGTATTGTTTACTGCTTTCCAGCCAAAATGACACTGTAAATAATTTATTAATGTTTTTAGCATATATTGTAATCAGGGCTGTTGTAATCAAAAACCTCTCTGTGTGTTTTCTAAGATTCTTCTGCAGTTCTAAGATTATTATCTCAAATTGAGGGGGGTGGGGAATGTGGCTTTTTTGAATGAAAACAAAAGTGTTTGCAATAATATATAAGATCATACTTTTTATATTTAATTCTGAACTATACCAGACATGAATTGTTAACTATTACTCCAACAGCTGCCTATCTTTGGAGAGTCAGGATCACTCAAAAGGCAGTTCTCAGTACAGAGATCTATACAAACTAAGAGACTGATTTTGGAAAGAAACTCGTAAAGGCCAGTTCTACCAATCCTGGGATCTAGACACCTAATGCAAATGCTGTTTATAATTTGAATCAGCAAGACTCTTTGCTTCAGAAATAATGTTATAATTGTAGTCATTTGCATATCTGGACTCTTGCTAGGAGAAAAAAACTTTTAATTCTGAATTCTTTTTAATTCAAATACTTTTGACATGCCCCCCCGTAAGTGGTGACAGAGGTACTGAATCACAAAATTTCCAAACAAATAAATACCAGATACCTCAGATGATTTGAATGGGTCTATTTCTGAAGACTCTATGTGCATTTTACTTCAAGGCTATCAAGTGGGTTCAGGGCTGAGATGAAATATGAAACACCATACACCCTGTAAGAACCTCTGTTCACAAATTTCAGGCCAAAGTCTCCTAATTAATTATATTTCTAGTCAATTGTCTGAAGACTGAGGCTGGAATCCAATGGGTTGTCATTAGAGTGGGCTCACTGAATCAGCATAAGTAAGCACCTTCGTCGTCGTTTAGTCATTTAGTCGTGTCCGAGACTCACTGAATCAACATAAGTAAGCACCTTAAATAGTGTCTAATTCCAGGTCAAATCGTTGTCTCAGGATTGAAGAACCTGGAGTCATTGCTGGACTTCATATCTGCACCTGCCAACCAAATCAGTGGTGGGAGTGATGGGAGTTGTAGTTAATCAACTTCTGGATGGTCACAGATTCCCTGGACCTGGTTCTTGTCTCAGGATTGAAGAACCTGGAGACATTCAGTTCATATCTGCACCTGCCATCCAAATCAGTGGTGGGAGTGATGGGAGTTGTAGTTAATCAACTTCTGGAGGGTCACAGATTCCCTGGACCTGGTTGCTAATTAAGGCAAGTTTGTGGAACCTGTGGTTTTCCAGGTTTACCAGGAACTACAGCAGGTTTTAGTAAACAAATGACTAAAGTGTGCTATGGCTTGGTGATGCTTTGGAATGCTGAACATCTGTCAATCCCCATTTTCCCTAGACACACTCAGGATTTTGTTTCACCGCTGAAAGAATCTGAGGGTCATCACTAGAGTACATTTAGTTAAGAGATCTGTTACCTTGCTGGAATCATTTAGAATACAAGCAACTGAAGTAATTAGAACAGTTAGTTACATCTGTCACCCCCATTTTCTAAGCACCATATGAATAAGTGTTCCATAAAACATGTAAATTTTTGCAGCCTAGGTTAGGCTTTCTTTATTTCCTCACTATGTTTTTATCTTTTATGAAAACTAAGGAATTATAGGCCTCTTCCTTGCTCCCCTCAACCTGTTGTCTAAAGAAAACAGTCTTATAGTGTAACCTAGCTGCTCTTTGGTAGCACTAGATTTTCAGGGAGAGTTTTGTGTATCCACATTTTTGTAAGATTATAGCCTAAGGGAGTGGTTACACTACTGAAATAAATTGGGAGCTGGATCAGGGTTTTTGAAGTAAGTTCATTTTTGCAGTTTTTGTCCTGTGCTCACCTGTCTGACCATCCTCACACTGGCTGCATCTCACAGCAAACTCACTGTTGCTGCCAATGCCAATGCTGCCAATCCTCACGCTGAGGTGACATGGGTGACAGGGACGGAAGCCATGTTGTTCTGCTGTAGTGTGATTTTTAATCTTTTTTTTCAAACTGAAATAGTGCTCAATCGGTGTCACAGATATTAAAAATAACAGATCAGACTTCAAGGTTCTTCTGCTCCCACCTTCCTAGGCCAGAAGCCAACTGCCTCTGGAGGAAGAAAGAAACAGCAGGCAGGCCAGAATGGGTTAACATGATTTTTTGGGGTCCCTTGTCATATCTTACTTTTTTTAAAAAAAAAAATCCAAAGTGGAATAGTGCTAGATCAGTGTGATAGACCGAAAAAAATATAACATGTTGAACTGTAAGGTTATCCATGATCCTGGCATACAATACAATATTTGATAAACCTCACAGGCACAATTTACTCTGACACAGGTAATCACACATGCAAAAATAGCGTTAACAGTAGAGTTAAAATAAGAAAGCCCCTAGCAAGTATTTTTTAAAAACTCAATTTCTGGTGGTGGGGGGACCATGCTTCCTGACAAAAAAAGTGCACTTAGCTGTATATTTTACAGTAAAAATTTACCTCCATTATCCATCATTACAGTACTTCTTAAAAGTATTACCAACATTGGTAATGTTGATACTAAAAAAATGCAATGTTGCAAGTAATATAACTTGTAATATGTTACTTCCGTCACTTAAAGAAGTGGTGGTGGTGGTGGTGGTGATATCAGATCTATTTGAGGTGTATGTATGACTTTTTTTCTAGGTTGCAGCTAACAGAAAATACCCTCCATGATGAGAGGGTTGGGCTAGATGACCTCAGAGTCACCTTCCAATTCTTTCATTTTGTGAAATGGAAACCACATTAGATCACTCTATGCAGTAGCTCTTCTGGTAGGACTTCACTATCAAAAACATCCAACAAGAAAGGATCCCAGGGGCTCATCTCTGGTAGCTCTCATTATATTAAACTATTTAAAACAACTTGCACATGACGGGCTATGCATATAAATTTACCCTTAGCCACAAGATGCAACAGACAGAGGATCCAAAAGGATCAAAAAGGGAAACATCTATGCTTTAAATATTCTTTGGAAATGAGCCATACAACTCAACAGAATCTAAAAATAGAGAGCAAGCTAACATCTCATCATCCCTGCCAAGCATACACATTAGCCACTTCAGCATAGTTTGGAGATCACTCTTCCTTAATCCTGAACTTCACAGTGTGGTGAGGTCACTCTTATTTCACTCTTTACCCCCACCCAACCCTACATTTTCCCCTTATGTAGGCTGAGAAAATGCCGTCAAGCTGTTGTTCGGTCCCCTCCACCATGGAGGAACCATTGCTGCAAAAGAACCATTTCAGAGCTCTTTGCAGCAATGATTTTACTGTGGCAATAATATAACGCAATAAATCATTTCGAGAGCAGATTTATTATTATTCACCACCACAAGTTTAAAAAGTAATTTATTTAATACTTATGTTAAGCAGCTCTAATATTTGTGTTAAGCAATTCTGGTCAACTCCATTTTTTTAAAAAAAATAAGATTTTGTTCTTGAAGATCATCTTAATTAAAATGTATGAGAAAGAAATGTTAAAGGAAGTTGTACCTTTATGGACAAATCCTGAGTATTAATTACACTTTACGGTGGGTGTGTTGATCGTGCTGTTGTGAAACCTTCTCAGGCTATGATATTTCAGAGTTTTGAAATGGTGCTTTTGATGATGATAAGTCGTAGAATACCCCAGCCAGCACAGTGACTGGCCCACAGGAAAGGTCTATATAGTCAAATATTCATTGTTCCTACTTTGAGCGGACAACCAGTTACCTATGGGACCACACACTCTGACAGGACATGAGCACAGATCTACCACCAGGTCATTGTTTCCTCTGCCAGATATACTGAGTCATCCTGGCTCTGGTGCTCGAAAAAAAAATACAGATCTCTGACATGGGTGATGGGCATTGCCAGCCTCATCCCCCCTGAATCTGTCTAAAGTTGCCAAGGCTGCCAACCTGTTTAACTACGTGCTATGTGTGTAGCTCCATGACTGTGATGAGTATGGCTACTTAAAGCACCAGACTATGACTGCTGAAAGTCAGGTCCCAATCCACATTCATATAGGGTTACCAGGTCAATAGCATCTCATCCTCTGGGATTTCAGGGTCAACGCCTGGAATGGGATGGCACAAGAGTGGGTACCAGCGATGTCACAGAGGCAGATCAGGCAAGGTTTGGCTGTGGGGCGGGAACTGCTTCTGAGCCATGTTTTTTGATGGGCAACTGTCAAATGGTGCCCAAACGATTCCACCATTCCTGCTCAGTGGAATTGTTTGGGCACCATTTGACAGTTGCCCTGCTGTCAAAAAAACATGGCTCAGTAGCAGTTGAGATTCTCACATGGGCCCACATGGTTTTATTGGGAGCACATCTGTATTTATAGTTTATAATGCAGTTTCTCCACATATTCTTTTACCTGGGGATGGTTGTGAGAAAGAAGACAACAAGGAGAGACTAAAATACACCTTGTAGGCACAAACTAATCTCAACAAGCCAGAAACATGGGCCTGCTTGCATGGATATTTGTCCAGTTCCGCACAGAAAGGTCAGATCTGAAAGATGTCTTAGCTATTTTTATAACTGAGGATTAGATCACATGTTAAAGGTAATATGCATTTCCTAGTATTTATACTGTTGTTCCTAAAGGCATGCAAATATTTCAGTACTACATGTTTCAGATTTCATACATGTAAACAAAGCCATGCTATCCCCCAGTTGGCCAATTGCAAAACAAAAGCTGATAATTTGCCAGATGTGGACTGAGGCAAGTTCATGTTAAAATAAACAGAAGGTGTCTTTGCCCCCTTCTTAAGATCATGCTCCTCCTAATGAAATTAATTAACTGTATTGTCTAGTTTGGCTCTCACTGAGTGCAATGAAAGGCTGTTTGCCATGTGCTTAATCAAATATAGAATGAAACTCTGCTTCTGGGAAACCAGCAAGAATAATTTCATTTGATATTTAATGCCATTGAATCAATATGGATTTGAACAGCAATATAACATGGACTTTGGTGGTGGGAGTTAAGCGGGCAAGGCAACCAAGGGGCTGGAGAGGGAATACAAATAAGGAGATAGAGGCTGAAAGCTCGCTCACTCCAAGGAAGGGAGGGTCAGAGATAGGAGTTATGCGGGCAAGGCAACCAAGGGGTTGGAGAGGGAATAACAATAAGGAGATAGAGGCTGAAAGCTCACTCCAAGGAAGGGAGGGTCAGAGATCATAAAGAAGCATTAGATCTGGGTCCAGCCTGCCACAACATACAGAACTGCAGGACCCAGGCATTGTTTCATTGTGATTGGAGTCGTGTGCTGTTGTGAGAATGGAGTTGGCGTCACAAAGACTGGCTCTGGAAAAGTTGCTCAGTTGTCGGTGACAGAAAGGATATGTTTCACAGAGCGATCTTCTGACAGCCATACCGACACATGGGCTGCTTTTCACTGGAAGAGGTCATCAATCTTGCCTCTGATTAGCATTTCCAAACAGAGCTTAGAAAAGTCAGTCTTTGGATTACAACTCCCGCATTTCCCCAGTGACCATACCATCTGGGGCATTCTGGGAACGGATATTCAGAAAAGTAATATCTCTCAGCAGCTGAAAGGGAGTGAAAAATAAGGTGGAGCCCATTGACATACAGGTTCTATAGCCGGCAAGTGACGATGGGCAGCTAGTTGGTAAAAATGAGGGTATGGCTACACAGTGAAATACTCTGCTTTTTGCATCACTGTTACCCTATTTGAGGTTGATGCATTTCCTATGAGTACACAATGTATTCTGTAGCATGTTCTTTTTCAGGCGTCAGTCAATTTATTTTGATCAGGCAACGGGTGTTTTTTTAAAAAATCAATTTAACAAGTGTACTTTCTCTCCTTTTCTCATGTGTGAACACCTCATTTGGGACGTGTCCCACAGCAATGTATTCATGGGAGCCACTGCAGGACATTCCCCCCTCATGAGCATGGCTGATGCTGACTACTTCAAGAAAATATATATAATTATTTCCAAATTAGGGCTGCATCACATGCATTAATTCCTCCTGAAATGACTCCAGACTGAGCAGCTGGGGGTTAAGATATAGGAAATCTTAAAGTGTGGAAATGCCCATGGGGAAATTTCTGGTACTATTGTAATGGTAGCACTATGTTTTTATTTATTTTGGATTTTGAGTTCATTTCAGAATTTCTTTGTATTTTTATGGGCAGTTAACAGAGCCTTGGGCAACATGGAAGAATTTCAAATCCACAAAATATTTCGTCCCAGCACTCACATATAAGTTTCAGCTTTCCTAATTTTAATTATATCCCCCCCATCTTCCATAAACATAAAGAAATGAAATGCCTCGTTGCATTCAGTAATTGTTGCTGTGAAGACAGCAGCTGTATAAGCACAGAGGCAGCGCCATTCACTGGCTGCGCATGAAGAGTGCAGCTCGAAACAGACGTTTGAGAATCACATAGCCCCACCATGTGGCAAATGGTTACCAATGTAATCTTTAGCAAGAAAATACACACTGGGCAAAATAGGCTGTTATGAAGCTTCATTTGTTTCCTTCTTTCTGTTGAGCACAATATAAAAATGGCTGAAGTTGGACTCAAAACTTATTTTCTGCTTCATACATTGTATATATTCTATGAGACTGAACTCATAACACATTGCTGTGGAAACCGATGCTACAGAATATGTAGATAATAAAAGAAACATGCTATCCCCTTTAATAATAGCCAAACCTGTGACAGCCTCCCATTTGCATAAAAAGGCATCCCTTCTCAGAAAGTAGAGACTCCTTTCTCCCCCAAAGGGCCTTTTTCTCATGCATACACATCCACACTAATTTTAATACCCCGCTCTGAAAGATCAAGGGAGAAATTATTTAACAAGGGCTAAATATAAGGTGACCTGCAATGCCCCAGAAAACATGTTGGGACCCCCTTGAGGGTAATAAATAAATAAAATAAAATTACTTGAAAAACTTCAGATTTTGGAGAAATGATGTTGCTTCATCTTGGATATGAGAGCAACAATATTGGGGCTCTGCTCATCCTCATTACCCCCAGGATTTTCATTTTTACCCCATTTGGGGTAATTTACCCCTGTTCCCTGACCACTGATGTAGATAATAAAAGAAACATGCTATCCCCTTTAATAATAGCCAAACCTGTGACAGCCTCCCATTTGCATAAAAAGGCATCCCTTCTCAGAAAGTAGAGACTCCTTTCTCCCCCAAAGGGCCTTTTTCTCATGCATACACATCCACACTAATTTTAATACCCCGCTCTGAAAGATCAAGGGAGAAATTATTTAACAAGGGCTAAATATAAGGTGACCTGCAATGCCCCAGAAAACATGTTGGGACCCCCTTGAGGGTAATAAATAAATAAAATAAATGACCTCTAGGCTGGGAAACATTGGTCCAGATGCAGCTTCTAGAAGGGCCTTATAGTACAGTGGTGCCTCGCTAGATGATGATAAGCCGTTCCACTGAAATCGCTGTTTAGCGAAATCATTGTCTAGCGAAAAGCATTTCCCCATTGGAATGCATTGAAACCTGTTTAATGTGTTCCAATGGGGAAGAATCGTCGTTGTCTAGCGAAGATCGGCCATAGAAAAGCCACTTTGCGAACCGCCGATCAGCTGGTTAAATCGCTGTCTTGAGAAGCTTAGGTCCCCAAAACACCTGTTTTACGAGCGCAGAAGGAGCTGTCAAAATCGTCGTCTAGTGAAAATCGGTTTGCGAAGCAGGGACCAAACATTGTCCAGCAAAATTCCCCCATAGGAATCACTGTTTTGCGAATCACTATAGCAATCGCAAAAAGTCAATGTCTGGCAAAAAAACTGTCATGTGGAGTAACTGTCTAGTGAGGCACCACTGTACATAGCTTCTGAGAGAGAGGGAGCCAATGAGGCCACTCTTCAGTTATAATAGAACACTTGATGGTCCCACATTGCATTCTAGCTACCACCAATAAAATGGTCTCACCACTTCTGAAAAATAACTCTCTGTAGGGTAGACACCACCCTCGGTGCATCTCCAAGTCACACCAAAACTGTAGGCAGCCACACATGTCTATTAGAAATATGGAGAAATGAAATTATCGCAATATGTCTATACCAGTAGAAGTGTAACAAAGTAGTGAAAGCTTCTTGAATTCTCCAAAACTCTTAAGCAAAACAAAACAAAAAAAAGATATTGGAAAGAAAAAACTGGGAGTGGAGGGGGGGAGAAGCTTTTTAAAAAATCTATAGTTTGTAGCACTCTTAAGGTAGACTGCAGGAGGTGTCATTCAGACTAGACTAGCATTCCTAGATGTTTCTGCTCAGAAACAGGATGTGTGAATGAGCAGAATGTGACTTTGCTGCAGTTCTTTAATTTCCATCTTCAATTTCATTCCAACTTGTATGCACAGATTCTGAATTTTTTTCTCCCTTCACATGAAAATACATGCATACTTCTGGGGTCCATTCCTTTAAATGTACACAATTTTCATGCATTTTTTAAAAGCTATGTGTTTTCTTCTATTGGTTACAGTATATTTGTGTGTATTCTAAATGTATTCAATTGCTATACATTGAATATACACATCAAATACATTTGTGGGGGTGTCTGTAAATAAGATTGTAGGTTCATAAATGTACAGATTTCCTTTTGCATATTGCATTTATAACCAAAACATGCTAACAGGATGAATTCTGATCTGAACTAAAATGAACATCTTGTCCGTCTGTAATCAGAAGTAAGATAAACTGAATTCAATGCAACTTGCTCCCAAGTGATTATGTATCAATTTGTGGTTTGATCTGTTTGATCGGTGTGCCTAATACATAGTAGATTTCAGGTTTCACTACTGGGGGGGGGGGCGGAACAGAAAAGAATAAAAGGGCTGATAACACTATCGTTTGGAATAGATTCCCTCTGCATTCGCTGCACAACAGCAGGTAAACATTCTGCAGACACATCAACGTTTGGGAGGCACTGTTTCCACAAGAAGAAGAAATTGGGGTGGAACTTTAGTTGCATGATCCAGTTCAGAAACAGATGGTAAAGATATCCTGATGACTTTGTCAGACATTAGATAACACCCTGAACACATTGGTGTCACCTGATTTTGGAAGCTAAACAGGGACAGTTACTACATTGATAGGAAACGAGATGATACCAGGGATTTCCAAGGAACAAATCCAACCTGAATCCCTGAGAAGCCATTGTTGCCTGTCAAATTTGACAATACCAGTCTGCATATTCTTACTAATAATAGATGTACTTATTATTAATGTGATTTTCCCACCTCCTCAGCTATTATATGATCATAGCTGTGTTCTTGGATTTCCTAGTGCCTATCCTAAGCTTGGCTAAGTAGCTCACCGGTTAGGTATCTTGCTGCAGAGACGGAGGTTGGGAGTTTGATTCCCTCCAGGGAGAAAAGCCAGCCTGTATATTAATGGACAAGTTGCACAGTCCCATAGCGCCCCCAGAAGAAGGCCATGGTAAATGTGTAGTCTCTACCTAGAAAACCCTAGAACTTGGACACAATCTGAAAACAAGAGTGGGTGGTACTTTTAGTTAGTTATGTGCCAGCAAGTTGGAATTCACTTACAGTTACCCTAATAGGGCTTTCAAGATAAGAGAGATATTTAAGAAATGATTTTACCAGTTCAATTTTCCCCACTGATTTTCCATGGCTTCAAAAGCAAGGTTACCTGAGTCCTAGTCCAACACTCAGTCCGCGACACTACATGTGGTATCCAGTGATTTGAATTTATAAAACAGCTTTGGATATTTGTTCACCATTCCCGTCTTTTACAAATGTGTGTCTCAAGACTTTATTTTATTAATATGGAAGTATTGTTTCCACTGCATATTTTTAAAATGAGAGATGGACATCTTCATCAAGTTTACAAGCTCCTTTGCAAAGGCTTCTTTCCTGAATAACAGAAATAAGAGTTAATAAATTGTACTAACAACATCTGTGGTGCATAATTCACTCTACGTGCTACAGACAAGATAGGAATCACTTACCCTCTTTTAAGAGAAGACAAAGTAAACCATGAGTACACAACCCACAATCCAGCCAATCAGTAGAAGGATGGGGACAATATAATTGGTGTATGGTATTGCCTCTGAGGAGAGAAAATATTGTATTTACATGATGGGAGGAGAGTGGTCGCAAGACCAGATAGGTGGGATATAAATAAAATAAATAAATAAATATAAATAGCATCAAGTTTAACCGCAGGCATAGTATGCAATTCTTTGAAAAGTTTGGTTAAAGAGAGGCAAACAGTCTACGGGTGTGACCACACAGAGGTTTGTCCCAGTTTAATGTAATTGTCTCCATAGTGCACCTTGGCATTTAAAATGGCTGCCATCGTCCACACAGAAATGTTTAATTATTCAAGGAAGGTGTCTTTCAAGGACGCACATATCCACCTTCTTCCTAACTCTTCTCTGCCATTATCACTACTCTTTTACCCACTTGTTTTGCCAGGATTCAAATCCCTTCTCTTTTTTTAATGTTTAGCAAGTGAAATCACACTGAATTTGAAACAACAATGGCAAACATTTGAATTGGTGCATTATTTGAGGGTAGAGTGGGAGTATAATATAGGAAAATAGTGTTCAACTAGAAGAACAAAATATATTTTAAAATACAGTTTGCAAATTGCATTACAGTTGTAATCCTTACCAGTGCATGCAGACGGTAGGCGGCATAGTAGGGTTCACCTTTCCACATACCATGCCTCTCTGTACATCATGAGTGATATCACCTGGACACACTCAACAATGGCTCTAAAGCAGGGGTCTCAAACATGTGGCCCGGGGGCCATTTGTGGCCCACCGGATGATGGTTTGCAGCCCCCACCTTGCCTGCCCCCCTTGAAGCAGCCACACATCCTCTGTTGTCAAGAGTAAAAAAAAAGCCTGGCCTCGCTCACCAGCTCTTTCCAAAGACAGCGCCTCTTGCACCCTCCATCCGGAACTGCAGCCTGACAGCCAGCCTGCCTGTCTGCCAGGCTGCAGTTCCGGATGGAGGGTGCAAGAGGCGCTGTCTTGGGGGATTGCTGCCGAGCAAGGTGTGCTGCTGGGCCTTTTCCTCGAGTGCCTGAGCCGCCGAGCAATGCCTGAGAGCGGAGCTCGCTCCCAGCCTGTCCTCGAAGAGCACCTCCAACAACGCCACCAACAGCAGCTGCTGCTGCTGCCACCTCTTCCAGGGAAGCGGCTCTCTGACTTTATTTCTCTCACAACACCCCCAGCACCATCCTGGCCAGTGCCACCTCAGCACCCAGCAGTACCTCCTCCTCCTCTTCCTCCTGCTTCAGCTGCCTTGGCTCTGGAGGCTGCCTGGGCTTGCCTAGCAAAGTTTGCTCCTCTGTCATGGTGGGGGTTGGTGCTGCTGCTGAGTGCACCTTTTTTTGAGGGGGGCCCTCAGAGGAAGGTTGGCAGACCTCCGTGTGTGTGTGTTTGTGCATGCATGCACCTGTGGAGGGGCGCCCCATTCTGTTTAATTTCGCGGATACCGATGGGGGCTTTTCTCCTTTGGCAAGGGGATTCTGTGAGGGTTTTTAAAAATGTTATGTCGTGCCCTCCTCCCCCCCGTCTCGGCGGTCGCCAGTGCTCCCTCCTTTCTCTGCTTCTTCATGCTGCTGCTGTTGCTGCTGGTGGTGGGAGTGAAGAAGGAGCCGGAGGGGGTCGTGGCTGGCGTTGAGGGCTCACACGCCCCTCCTCCTGCTCCTTGGTGGCTTCCTTGGGCTCTTGCTCCACTTGGCGGAAAATCTGATGCGGCCCAGCCTCACACAGACTCTGCCTCCAGTGGCCCCCAGGTAAATTGAATTTGAGACCCCTGCTCTAAAGGATTGCTGTAGGCAATCAAACAAGCCAAAAGCAGGACAAAATAATGTGGAAATACTACACACACACACACACACACACACACACACACACACACACACACACACACACACACACACACACACACACACACAGTCAGCTGAACAAAATGTACTGTACACTTATGCCAAACAATCAGATATGCCCATAAATAGTGCTCATGTTGTGTAGTCAGTGGAAAAATATCAAGAGGAACAGAAAGAAAAATGGCACAAACAGTGAGACAAACACTATCTAATCACACTCTAAGGAACAGGGTGGACAACTTGTGGCTATTCAAATATTGTCAGTCCTAGCCAGTATAGCCAGTGAAGACATCTGAAGGGCTACAATCAGTCTAACTTCGGTTTAAAAAATAGCCCTCCTCCCTGCCATCACTCTACATTCCCAAAGCAATCACCTCTAACCTCATCACTCACTATTAACTAAAATAGCTTCGTCTCCTTCACGTTGCCAACCTGGCCAGAACTTGGAAGTTGCTAGTTACCACAGTGAAGAAAGCTGACACGAAGAAAACGTATTCATTTGAAATATGATGCTGGAGGAGAATTTTGCAGATTGCCAGAAAGACGGACAAGTGGGTCCTAGAGGGTCCTAGATCAAATCAAGCCTAAACTTTCTCTGGAAACAAAAATGATGAGTGGGAAAAAAAATGATATCCTATTTTGGGTACATCATGAGAAGGCAGGATTTGGGGGGAGGACCCAATAATGCTGAGAAAGATGGAAAGCAGCAGGAGAAGAGGAAGACCAACTATACAATGAACTGACTCCCTCAGGAAACCACAGCCTTATGTTTACAAGAGCTGAGCAAGGCTGTTGAGGATAGGACATTTTGGGAACCACTCATTCATAAGTGGGAGGAGACTGGACAGCATGTAACAACAACATGTCTTCTGAACAGCTAGAAAATACCTGAAAGAGAATGTGCCCCACTCTCCACTTCTACCCGAGGATGGCATGAGACAACTCTCTCTATAAAAAGAGGCAAATGGGCAACAGAAAGAAAGAGAAACTGGTCTGAAGGGGCTTTTGAGCTAAGAGCATTTAGAGGGCCTGCCTGGTTATCTCCCTCTGGGAATGTGGTATACGGCAGGGCAGTCTCTTTGGCTGTCTGATTAGATGGTATGTCTTTATTTTTCCATAACTGCTTCCTTAAGTGATTAAAGGCATCTGTTTGTCACAGCATATGATTCTTTCAATCTACTATATGTAGCTTGCTTTTTTTGTGCTTTGTTTTGTGATTGGACACAGGCAGGCAAACATTGGTTTAGTTTGTGAGTTTAATAGCTGCAGCATGTGTCTTTGAGGACTTTTTTTAACGGGAGGGAGATACTTTTATCATAGAGAGTATAGATCCCCTAACAATGGTTCCCACCCTTGTGTCCCCAAGTGGTTCTTGGACTAATACTCCCAGAATACCTCATCACTAGCTGTGCTGGTCAGGGTTTTTGCGAGTTGTAGTCCAAGAACACCTGATTTACCCAAGGTTGGGAGCCAATGACCTATAAGGTCTGATTTCATTGTGTCAAGAGTGTTTGAACACAGTGCCTCCACCAAGGCTGGAGCTCAGCCTATATATTTTATTGATGAACATAAATATCTTTTTACATAAATAAACTTCCACATAGTAAAGATGGGAACCTGCAAAGATAGCTGTGCTCTTTGCTCTCCTTTGCTTGAGCCTACTGAGAATACTCTGTCCTCTCACTTCGCTGCATCAAGAAATTTCAACTCATGTTTGAAAGTGCCATCTGAGACTTTTCCCACTCCTGGATCCACAGAAGCTGCTGTCTGCAACTCCTGGAATCTCATGCGCCATGTTTCCTGTAGCTTCCAGGAGCGGAAGTTTCTAAGGATGAAATCCAGTGACATCTGGTGGGATGTCGTATCTTCCTTAAAGCAGAGGTTCCCAAACTTTTTTGGGCCATGGCTCCCTTGACTCCATTCCGGAGCCTCCCTGGAGCAAAATGGCACCGCAGCTGCCACAGCCTTTTCTCCCTCTGTGCATCAAAGGCATCCTTCAGTCTCGAGAGACTATGGTATCGTGGCTCTGCATGGAGGACTTGGAACAGTGTCTAGTGTGGCTGAGAAGGCCAATTCGAGAGTGACAATCTCTTCCACACTGAGGACAAATACAATCTGTACCCCGTCTAGCTCCCTGATTTTGCTGCTTTCGTGACTGCCTATTTGCCTCAGCCTGCTGGGCGAGGGTCTCTTCAAATTGGGAGAGGCTGTGATGTACCGCATGCCTCCAGGCTGAGCGCTCAGATGTCAGGGTTTCCCATCTGTTGAGATCCATTTCCAAGGCCTGCAGATCCCGCGTGCAGATATCCTTGTATCGCAGCTGTGGTCTCCCTCTTGGGCGATTTCCCGGCACTAATTCTCCATACATACAGGAGATCCTTTGGAATCCGACCATCAGCCATTCTTACAACATGCCCGAGCCAACGTAGGCATCACTGTTTCAGTAATGTATGCATGCTAAAAATTCCAGCTCGATCTAGGACTACTCTATTTGGAACTTTGTTCTGCCAGGTGATACCAAAAATGCATCGGAGGCAACACATATGGAACATGTTCAGCTTCCTCTCCTGCCGTGCATGAAGGGTCCAGGACTCACTGCAGTACAGGAGTGTGCTCAGGACACAGGCTTTATAGACCTGGATCTTGGTATGTGTCGTCAGCTTCTTATTAAGCCATTCTCTCTTTGTGAGTCTTGAGAACATGGTAGCTGCTTTGCCAATGCGTTTATCCAGCTCGACATCTAGGGAAAGAGTGTCAGAGATCGTTGAGCCACCATATGTCCGGGGACAAGGACACAGCTCACCCCAAGGTCTGTACTTGGGCACAGCTCACCAGTGGGCTTTGGGCACAATTCTGGCTAGCACGCAGGGAAGCCCACTGGCCAAGGAGAAGCAGAGGGAGGCATTGGCAAAGGATGAGAGAATTCCGTGGCACCCCTTGCTGGGTTTGGCGGCACCCCAGGGTGCAGTGGCACATACTTTGGGAACCACTGGCTTAAAGATACCACTGCATGCCAGGCACACACACACACATATGCACAAACACACAAACACAAATTCAGGCCTTAAGCACACAATCTGCCTGTCACTTGGCAATCATACATAACAAACAATGCAATCATGATATATGTAATTATTTAGTAGAACGGAGAAGAATTCTGAAAGAAGAAATGTGCTCTGTAAGTGAGATCAAATTTAGCTGAAGTA